CGCGCTGGCACTACTACCGCATGGGTGACGCAAGGGCCCTTGCGTCAGCCTTGCGTCAACCATGCGGTTGACGCAAAAGTTGGGCCAGAAGCCGCCTTTTCCTACTACTGATTACTTTCAAAATATCCCCAATTTGAACAGAAGTCATTTCAAATACATTCTTTGAATGGTGGTAATCTGATCCAATGGACGTTTAGTGAAAAGCTATACCATAAAATTCCAAAAAATGAATGAATAAAATTCCAAAATCAAACATGTTAATTTTGGTACTTACTTGTTGTTTTTATATAACCAAACTTACTGTATTGTATCGATGGCCTTCTCCCTTTCTCTGTCTCTCTCTGATTTTATCTCTTTGTGTCAATCTCTACTTCTCTGTCTCTTTGTACATTTCATCTTGGAATCGTTTTTTGGAACTCTCCAAGAGGACCTATTTGGAGTGAATTTTAAAGCCATTCAAATCTTCAACAAAGTTAAAGAGCAAAAATCACCCAGGACGCCAGTCCCCCAAGTGACACAATACCAACATACATATGAATTTATGAAAATTTATCCACATTTTTTTATTGACCATGTCAAAATTCTAAAAAAATTGCCACCAAATTTGAAAATATCCCAACAAAATTGGCAGAATTGCCTTTGAGTCGAATATTGACGACCGCTAAATTTTTAACAAGATTTATGTGTTGATAGATTAAATCAAATTTCACTTAATAAAGGTGATTTGGAGGAAAAAACAAAAAATCTAGTAAAATGAGGCGTTTTCAAGTTTAAAGAAAAAGCGTCATATAATTAATTTTGGTATAAAATGTTTTAATTGCGTTTTCTTTTGAAATATACATAGATAGTATTTGAATTAATGTTTACTTTGCATAAAATATGACTATCAAAGTTGTGTTTGCTTATTTCAAGCTTAATGAATAAACGTACGCCATAAATGTAGGTAAATATATAGTTACGCGTTAAAATACATTTAATATATATATATAGATTTATCGTATTATATAATACAGGAATATCAATCTTTTAGTTTTTATTTTTAAATTAATCATGTTCCTTTGTCGCTTCTAAAAATGTGTAGCATTTGTAATTTGTCAATGTTGTTGTTTTTTGATTTAAAAATTATGTATTAAATTACGTGTGATTAAACTAGCCATCGATTGAGTAAAATAAAAAAAAAAATATTTAAAAATAAATTCCATTAAAAAAAGATATAAGTCCTCTTCTAAAAAAACACACACAAGAGGAGAAAACAACATTTTACAACCGAAATGTTTGCATATTTATACTATATTGATATCGGGAAACCATGTGTATATAAGATATAACAAACATGAATATGTGCGTTATTATTTCATTGGACTGGCTCTCTCTCTCTCTCATGGAGATGAATACGGACTAGTTGCTTATGTTTCCATATGTGAATTGAATAGATTTTTCTTCGTTAAATAATGAACAACCAAATGTTTCGTTGACAATTTTTTTTTGATTCGCACCGAAAAATATAGAAGACGATTTCGTTCAGACAAAACTGTACTGATTATCAACAGCACGTCCCGATTCTGTATCGATTGCGTTGCCACGTTGCTGCTGATTTGGTCCAGTTGTTGTGGTTGTCGGTGTGCTGGAATTTGACAAATTTGTCGACGATGCCGATTGATTCAACAGCAAGTGTGACAACTCTAAATCACATGTTTTAATTCGTGTGCTCGCATTCAATGTGATTACTTGATTCGGCTGCACAACAACAAAAAAAGAAGAAGAAAAACAAATATTTTCAATAAATGTTGCGTTTAAAAATTAAAAACCGGTTTCAAGGTTCCAACGATTTACACCAAGTTTATGCTCTGACTATTTTTTTTCCTGGTTAAATCATCCGGAAGCCTCAAAACATATCAGCACTAAATTGAACGAAATTTTGGAAACAATCTACAATGAATATAGCCAAAAAAAAATGTTTGTAAATAAAATGACCGCAGAATCTAATCGTGCATAGATCTTGAAATCGCATTCCATATATGGTCATATTTGACTGTGGTCAGCATTTTTTTGAAAGTTGATACTCAATCACAGAAATCATTCAATTTTCTATCGACTAGATTCCAATCAAATCCATTAAAACTACATCGAAACTCGTTATTATAAATCACATTCAAATAAAAACGGATTTTTGCTTTGAAAAATCGAATCACAAATATCAAAATATCGAGAAAAATTAAGAGTGATGATAAACTGAGTGCAAAATGAGAGAAACCAGCAACGAAAAACAAAAATAGAAATGACACAGGAATAGAGAAATCAAATTATTAAAATATATGAAAAAAAATGAAAAAAAAAAAAAATAATAATAAAAGTTGCAAGCAATGCATTCACTGACATTTAAACGACGGCAAGCTGCTAATGATTGAAGCTATCTCACATGTCTTGGTGTCTGTTGATTGTACACATAATTGGTAAGCGTTACATCGGCCGAACCACCCGATTCTAATGGTATGGGATTTTGCATAAAATGATCCAGCATTTCGTGTATTGATGGAAACCTATTAAAATTCGTGAAAAAATTGAAAAATTAGTTTCTTTTTATCGAATTTCTAATTAGAGTTTTGATGGAATAATAAATACCATAAATGTTGGACACGACATTGACCTGAAACATTTTTTAGAATAAAATTAATTCGAGTTCGGTACTGATCTTTAATTTATATTTATAAATTTATAAAGAAATTCGGGAAAAATTATTTTTAAAAATTTCGGAATTGAAAAAACTTATTAAAATTCATAAAAAAATTGAAAAATGAAACTTGAGTTTGAAAATTTGTTAAAAAAATATTTAAATTTGTCTTTAAAAAATTATTTCGAAATTTTTTTAAAATATTTTTTTCAAATTAGAATTTTTTGTTGAAAAATCCTTTAAAAAATAGTTTTTTAAATCAATTTTTCGTTGGATAATAATTTAATAAAAAACGTTAAATAATTTTCTATCAAAAATCACAAAATTATACTACTTCGGAAAATGTATAGAAAATATTTTTTTTCTATATCAAATTTTTTAAATAAATTTTTTGTTGAAAAAACGGTAATTTTTTCAAAAAATTAAAAATAATATTTTTCCTAGCACAAAATTTAAATTTAATAAAAATTGACATTTTTCTTCAAAATTGGAAAATTCCTGAAGTAAAATCTGTAAAAAAACTCACCGCCATCATTTAAGCTGCATCGCAGATGCTTTGCTTTTCCTTGAAAATTAAAAGTCAGTACAAATTCGCCTTTGCGCGTCTCACTCTGTCGAACTAGGAACACACCATGACCAGTGATGCCACCATGAAGTACAAGATTAGCGGCATCTGATCGGGCCAATGTACCGTGAAACCATGGAAATTCTCTCATATTCGCTGCCAAATCGGCATCCACCTCAAGCACCGACTCCAAATCACCTTCTGTCAATTCAAAATTACTCGATGTCGATATTCGTTCACCCGTACTTCGGCCAATAGTTTCCGATTGCTGTACCAAATTATTAGGCGACGGTGTTGTTGTTGTTGTCGTTGTATCATTTAAATGTATCGTACTACCACCGGTCGCACCTACAGAAGAAATATTATTTTATTTTTTAGCAAAGCAGTTAAATTAGATATAAACATTAACTAGAGTCAATCTATTTTTTGAGTGGGTCCATTATGACTGGCCATTAGAATCACGGAGTTGAATAAAAAAAAACTGAATCACCTTCAGCACTGTTGACTGGTGCGGTTGGAGCTGGTGGTGATGCTGGAATCGTTGTTAAATTTGGCATCGCCGTTAATGTTTCGACGCCTTGCACTTGAACAGTTGGTGTACTACGCATACAATATCGAATCGTTGCAAGCCAACTGCGCATATCATCCGAATTGGTCGCTTCAATGACATATTCCATATTATTATCAGCTTTTATAACAAACGTATTTTCTCTGCTTGGCATTTCAAGTGCTGTTGTTTCACGAACGTCTGATATTAAAAAGCAAAATACACCACTACGCGGCTAAAAAAAATCAAAAAAAAAAAATCACGATTGGTATTGTATAACGTTGAGGTAGGTCAATTTTTATATAAATTTTTGTTAAATTCTGTGTTTCAATTTAGTAATGAGTACCTTTTTGGCATTTGGCGGAGAGTAAAATTCGAGTAAATAACCACCGGCCGTTTTAACAAGGGCCAATTTACATTTTTCCCATTTTTGATTTTCCGATGGTTGATCAAGACTTTCTTGTGTGAGTACAACAACTTCTCCGACTTTCCGGCATTCAACGACAATATTTGAGAGTTTAGTCTTTCCCGGTCGACTGCCCGACGCATCACTATCTTCCGAATGATGTTTATGGAACAATGCCTGCAACAACACAAAACTCTAGATTCGTAGAAGACGCGAAGAGAACGAGAGAGGGAAAAAAAGGAAGAGAGAAAAACAAAAACCAATAGCCTCCAGTGTGTATGTATAATATTGTGCTATTTGATGTAGATGGTTTGTGTTTTGATCGTCATGAATGGTCATCGTCATTTTAACGTTGACCATTTTTCCCCTTTCAATGAATGAAATAAATGAATGAATTGCGGCATACCTTTCCTTTTTTAAGTCCCTTGAATGACAATCGTCGAAAGAATGGTTTGCTTGGTTTTGGTGCATCCACATGATCAATCCGTTCAGCATCTTCATCAATGCTGTTCACTGTGCCATTCGGTTTTTGATGTGATAACCTTCGCCGGGAGAATTCTGTTTCAAAATGCTCCGAAAAACATTCGATAAAACGTTTCATAAAATCCGTGTGCGATGCAGATATTTGAACGTTGCCCGGTAAATTTGTGTTGATGTAATGTACACAGGATTTGGCAAAATCGGCTGCAGCCGCCCGGGCATGACGTTCACAACTGAAATATGCAACAAAATATTAAAAATTTGGCAAAAAAAACGAATTTTCACACAGAAATACGAAGAATGAAACGTAGAAAAAAGGGTGTTTTCTACTACAGTACATCATACTCACAATTCCGACCATCCATATATACCACCAGATGTTGTTGTTGTGTTATTGGCTATTGCCATCACAAATATCAATAACAACAAGAAAAATTTCCAATTTCGCCGCACTCAATTTCAGTCCTGGCTCTCTTTTTTTCGTCGAAAAATGGTCTTTGTGCTCGAAATTTCAATTTCCTGATGTGCCTTTCACGATGATGAATTCCTTACTCCTATTTTAGAAATGTCATACACAATGAGCAAAAAATGAAGAAAAAAAGTTTCGTACGTGCGATATATAATACATTGAAAATCGGGCACAGCGTGTAGCTGGTACATACAATCAAAATATCACAATTTCTCTGTGTATGCATTTGCTACACTGTGACACAAGCACAAAACGCAAGTGATAAAACACCGGTCTCAAAATGAGTCGCTTTGACTACTCTCACTCTCTCTCACTCTCTCTCTCTCTCTCTCTCTCTCTCTCTTCCATTTACTCTCTGCTTCTCCTCTGTTTATGCACAAAAAGACCGTGTGTGCAAGATGTAAATAAAAAAAAGACACGATTTTTCTATAAAAGGTCAGATTTTGCCATTAAAATAGTTCCGGCATCGTCAAAAAACAAATAATAAAATTCGCCGCACACAATTTTACGCTCATTCTTTGCTCACACACGCACACACTCATTCTCATCCACTCTCTTTTGCTCACACATGATAATGGCAACAACATTATTCGCGACGTACTCACACGCACACACGAAATGAGCAGCAACAAAAAAGGCACACACAATTCACGTTATGTACACTAACACGTGCGTAGCATTGAATAACAATATTGTGGACACACAGCACCAATGTATTAAATTGTCGTCACACACGAGACCATAAAACTAAATTTACGACCAATCAATGCACGGCGAGAGAAGAAGAAGAAGCAAAAAAAAATCGCACTGACCGTATCGTGTTTATGAAAATGTTTTCTTCACTTTGTATTCATTCACGGTGCAATTTCTTCGAATGAATGAAAAGAATACGAAGAAGGAAGAAGAAAACAAGGAAGAACGGAAACAACAACAACAAAATTGCGCCTAAAATATATATGGTCGCTACCTTTTTCTCGTTCAAATCAATTTTTTTCGGGTGTTTATGTCGATTTTATCGTCACTGTTCAAATGATCCATGAAACTGCGTCAATCATTCAAGCCGTGATAATATTTTTATGTCACACACTTTGTCATCGAATAAATAAAATTTTGTATATTTTTTGTTAGCGTACCTCGCATCAATTCACATACACTAAATTTTGTCCACACACATTTTTCTAAATATTAATTTGAATTTACACACCGAGATAAAATAAAATTGTTCGTCGTCACTTCAAAAAAAAAAAAAATTATTTGATTGTGCAGTTGAGTGATAATTCTTTATTCGTTCTACCAAAGACACAATATTGAGAGAGAGAAAATAACACACACCGAAAGAATCAAAACAAAACAACTCACTTTAGGGCGGCAGACATGTTTGATTATTTTCATCGACGCAAACTCTCTGAGAGCGAACGAATGTGTACGTGTGTGAGCATAATACATACATATACACTCTCTTCGGTACGGTCATTCGACGTTCTATGGTTGGTGTGTGCCGCTAGCGTCAGGGTACCGCATCGAAACGGAGATACGGAGAGATAGTGCGCGCGTATGAGAGAGGCAGTGCGCATCATGCACACGAATGTTGTGAATATAATACAAAAACATTCACGAAACCAAAACAAAACAAACGCTAAACGAATTGAATGCGAGTGTTGGAAATATGCAGCTGCTATATATAACATTTTTATTGGTTCTTTTAATAAATGTGCATTTTATTGGACTGTTCAAAACACAATTGCATTCTTATTAGATTGTGAATGATGTACTTTATGCTTACCGATTATGTTGCTCGAATCGGTTTTTGAGAATAAACACATCAATTTGTTTGATACATTTTAATAAGCAATGGAGAGGTTTTTTTTAAATCATGTATTGAATGAAGTTTTAATCATAATAATAAATTAAATGTGTTTTAAAGTAAATTTATTTTGTCATTTTTTTTAGTAATTTAAAATCGAATCATTGCGATCATTTGTGTTTTGTATTAAATAAATAATAAAGCGGGAAATTTATTTTGAATTGTTGTACATGACTTCTATATGGTAATAGACATAGGTTCAGTGGGCATCATCGTGGGATCAAATTTTTACAAAATCATTCAATTCGTTAGGGTTTTTTGACCGAATTTCGCCTTTTTGATCGTAGTGGAATTTTTTGCCAGGATTTTTGTAGACTATTTTTGTTTTCAATTCCTTTGGATTTTTTCGGCTGGAGATGCTCCCAATCAATTTTCGACTGGATCTTAGAGGGATTTGCAAACGTGAGAACCAATGGTAATAGAAAAGCGTGGAAATGTTTCGAGTGTGCCTTAAAATCATTTTCATGAACTCAAGGCAAAAATATTTTACTGCGCACAATGGGTGTGCGCAAAAGTAATAAAATAAAAATAATAATTTAATAGAGTGCAAACCTACGTGTAATAGCTAGTGCAATAGACACATTGACGTTGAGTCACAATGCAATATAAAATAAGTAAAAAAATTGAATATTGTTATTAAATTGGATTCATCAATCATTCAGAGTAGACAATTTTGAAAATTTCCAAGTGAAAAAAGAGATTTATTCATTAGATCGATTTTCTTGCAAAAAGTTACCATACGCCATATATCATGAATTCAGCCATGAATTTTCTCAAGAAAATTCAAAATAACTCTGCAGTTTAAAGTTCGTAAAGCAGTAAGTTGACGTTAACATCGTGTAAGCTCAATAAAACTGGCGGTCGTAATATATTTCATTCATTACATAAGGTATATTGGATGGAGGATTTTATAGGGATAATGAAAGTAAACATGATCATTCCATTCAATTGGATTTTTCCGTTATTTTCTAAAAATTTTGTAAAAATTCAAACATCCACGGCGTTCGCTATTTCACTGAACGATTGTTACACAAAAGTGAACGGTACGTACGTTTTTTACTAGCAACATAAAGTATCCAAGTGAAAGTTGAAATTTTGTGATTCAAAAAGAAAAAAAAAATGTTCCAAAAAACTGTCGGAGCTACTCTTTTGCCTCAAAAGCTATGACAAAATATGACTATTTCAATAGGATTCTTCCAAACTAGTTAGTTTCGACGTTACTATATGAATTCGATCCAATTTAGAATGAATTTTATTGATAAGCACTTAAGCAGAGAAAATTGTAGTAATCAATTATTATTAAGATTTTAATTAGAAATCGTCATTAAATCCAACACAGGTTTTGGTGAATAATTGGCTTCAGTGTTTCGTTGTTGTTGTGTGGTTCAATGATTCGCGATGTTTGGTTGGATTGGAATAAGAATCCCGTGTATTTCAAAGCTGACGATGTGGCACACGTTTCGACAATTCCATTTCCAACTGTAACAACTTGTATTCAGATAAAAATACTGTACAATATCATCAAAGTTCGAACAAAAATTGTCTAGGAATTTATCGTATTCATTTGAATGGAAATGGATTATTGGATTATTGGATTTGAATGGAAATAATATTAACAACAATAAATGTTGATCATATAGAAAAGCGCACGCCTCTGCACTTATGCACGTATGTCCCCTGTTGCATGAATATGTAAAATTCACTGACGATGACGATAATTTTGTGAATGAATCAATTTATGATATAATTAAAAAGGTGGCACCCACTCGCGATTATGTAGTGCACGAATGCAAATGGCTACAGAAAAATATTGCTTGTTCCGAGCACATGAGTCCAGTTTTTACTCGCAATGGTGTTTGTGTAGCTTTTAATGGATTTACTTCACACGACCTGCAGCCCTTTTTGATTTGATCTGATTACTGTGAAATTGATTTCCTCGATTAATAATTGAATAAATCGACTTTTAAAATGGCGCCGAGAATGCGTGCGATTAAAAACAATCGAATGATATCGTTGGAATGTGGAAACTGGCTATTTTAGTGGTATATATAAATATGAATATCCACATCGTGTGCCTGATTCAGGTCGAAAATATGCGCTCAATTTAATTCGTTCGATGAATGAACGAGATTACAAGTTTGTTTGTGATGGAACACTTCAAGGATTTACAATTGAATTGAATACACCCGGCGATGTGTCATTGGAAAATTCACAGCATATTTATATACAACCTCCCGAGGAGGTTCTTATTGCTGTTGAATCCATAGTATCCAATATTTCGGCGGGCCTTCGAAATTATAAAACAAAACAAGGTCAGTGTTACTTTCTTCAAAATGTATTCGAAAGTGAATTGCAAAGAGGAATGTTTGGCGAATTTCACAAAGCAGCAATGTGAATGCATGAAATTTTCACAACCAAGTATGCAATCTTCTAAAATAATTATTATTTGACGATAGATATGTTTTGTAGGAGACATGATAACAAACATTTGCGGCGCTGCAAACAATGGACAGTTGTTTCGTGACGAATGTAATTGTATGGCTGCATGTAACGATATTCAGTACAAAATGAAAATGGAAAGAAAGAAAATCGATATGCACACATTGGCCAAAAATGTGGGAATATCGGGGAATGGGTCGGTTTATTCAGGATAAGGTTACCATTTGTCCGGAAATTAAAAGTCGAAAACATAAATGTGATATAACAGCAGCGTTGACGTCGTGAACCAATTTAACAAGCATGGAGTATACTTAAAAGCCAATTCAGTCTATGTTTAAATCAATAATTTATTTCAATTGTTAAATTGCCAATTATTCAAATTGACAATTGTTTTTAACACAGATTGAATTGGCTTGAAATTATTATTAACATCATTATCATTCAGTAGCAACCAGACATTATATTGTGATATTTTCAGTCATGTGAATCAGCTCAGCCAAATATCGTCAGGAGCTGAAATGGAGTGAAAACAATAAAAGTGATTGTTATGTTGTTTGTAAGAATGGAAGTGTTATTATAGCCATAACAATCACTTCTATTGTTTTCACTCAATTTAGGCTGAGCTGATTCATATGACTGAAAATATCACAATATAATGTCTGGTAGCAACAACAAAATTTATTGCAAATTCTTCGATTTGTCATTTTAGTGAATTGAAATTCAATACTTTGGCTCATGTTTGTCCACTATTGTCACATCGAAAGGCATTTTACGAACCAATCAATTTATAAAATTATTCAAGATATTGCACCGAGCATTTCGGATTCGATATTTATGTGTAATTGAAAAAACAAATGTTTCACGAATCGTTCCAATTTTAACTGATGAAGGTCTATGTTTCACTTTTAACGCTTTAAACTCTCATGAAATTTATACGGAAATGTAAGTTTTATGTAAATCTATGCGAAAGTTCTGATTTCAATAATATTGTTTGTCAAGAGAATGACATCGGATATGATGATTGTGAATCAAAATCCGAATGCTTCATCATACTGGAGTCTACAGAATGGGTATTCACACCAATCTAATGATGGAAATTATCCATGAGAGTGAGCATCATTGCAGTGGTGTATTCAGTCAAGGATTTAAAGTAACTTTATCAACACCTGGCGAAGCATTACAAACATCAAGAAAATATTTTCGATTGCCCCTTTCCCATGTTAATTCGATTCATATTGTACCCGAGATAACCATAACTACTGAAAAATTACGTAATTTCAAGCCGTCACAACGAAAATGTTTCTACTCGTATAGCTCTTCGGAGCGTCAATTGTATTTCTTAAAAATATACACACAAATCAATTGTGAAGAGGAGTGTTTGGCAAATTTTACCAAGAATTTGTGTAGATGCGTGAAATTTTATTGTTATGAATTTCATATTTATATCATAGGAGAGATGAGTACAAAAATTTGTGGAACAGCAAGGATACAGTGCTTAGAAGCAGCACAAAAGAAACTGCAAACCCCATTGAACGGACGGGTCTTTCGTAATGGATGCAATTGTATGCTAACTTGTACATTTATCAAATATAAAGCGCGTTTTAATCGGAGTCCAATTAATTCATGGGACTATAATGAACGTGGAAGAAAATGGAAATAGTAAGATGGTTAATTCACATATCAGTAAGTATCATTTTCAAATTCAATCTTTTCGAGTTTAGTAGGCATGCAACACTTGTTGGTTTCGCATTTGAAAAGGATTTGATGAAGACAGACAAAATTATTGAAACGTATACAATTGTGGATTCTTTGGCTGTTTGTCGTGGTTTGCTTGGATTATTCATGCGCATTAAGCATCATTGAACTGATTTTTTACGCCACACTTCGGCTTTTCTGGAGACTGCGTCAAAATCGACAAATTGCTGTGACACCACTTGCTTCAACGAGTAATCGGAACCGTATCTAATGCAATTTGAACAAAACCAATCCGTCGAAACACGACACATGACCAAACGAGTCATTTAATGAAGCAAAACCGTTGAATTTCGTGTGATTTCAAGTGCTTGTGAAATTTGTGACTATTTTTAATCCAATTTTTGTAAAGAATTTGGCGAACAGACCTTAGCTCGAGCTATTTTACAAACAAAATATCAAATTACAAAGCATAAGATTACACTAATAGAAAATCAATGTTCGCCAATTCAAAGTTCATTTGCATATTCAACAGCTACTAACGAGTATTTTGACAATCAGTGGTGATCGGCAGCACTACTTTCACATGTGGTTCACATTAAGATTTTCTTATAAGATTTGTTTTTCAAATTGTTTGGTTTTCAAATGGTTCAAGTTTTCTTATCTGCATCGACAACAAACAAAACAACAATTTATAATCAGTTCACAGTCATTTCCGTGGATTTTTGGTTAGTTTATTTTATCGGTTTTCTTCACAAATCTGTTTAACGAAAAAATTTGAGATATATTCTTTACACTTATATCTTCATATGACTATTTTCGTTTATTTTTTTTTCTCAACTGTACTTAAAATTTAAATAAATCACGCAAGCAGGCTGTGTCACAGTCTCGTTATCACTAGATTCCCCTCTTACTTTTTCCCATTCTTTTTAACTCTCACTCGCTATCTCTCTTCGCAGGTCTTCTTCAGTAGAGCCTCTAAAAAATCTCGCTGTCATAATAAACCAATGGGCAATTCTTCGCGGCAATCACTTGATACGCATTTTCGATACCAACTTTATTCCAAATATCTTTGCTACGATCGTTCCACACATGTATCACCGTTGAATTTTCGCATAATTTAAGCGCTTTGTTCAAATCCTCTGGTTCAAAGTAAAGCGTGTAATTTGACCATGAAATTGGATAAAATGTCTCTTTCGGTTGGATTTTAGCACCTTGACAACGATTTGGTGTCCATAACGTTCGATTCGGTGTTGAGCAAATCTCTTCAAGTATATGTGTCAACATTTGTGGCCCATTTCCAATGAAAGAATCGCCATTGAAATTTTTCATTATCTCACTGAAATTTAAAGAAAATAATCATTTTTGCATTTATTTTTGTGTAAATCTAATGAGGAAACGACTATTTTTTAGATCTTATCTCGAAACAGTTGTTGCCATCGCAAGATGATGTTCACCAACAGCACACCAAAATACTACATTTGACATTCGAAAATTTTAAAAACAACTTCCGTTTTGTAACGCTTATCAACAAACAACGACAACAACTGAACACGAGTAATTTGGTTGTTAGGGTCTGATTGTGTTTGGTCAAATTAATAAAAAAAGTTACCCAAAAAATCTTTGACTGATTTCCCTCCCAACGCCATGATTGTTTAAATGCATAACCGCACCGTTTATCACTGTCGCCCAGTCGTCTCCGATGAAATTCTCACCCAATTCGTCAATATTTTTCTGCACAATCACATCCAAATCCATGTGATAGCCACCGTATCTGTATAGTGTCATCGCTCTGACGATATCGCTCATATGTTCGTATAAAAACATCGAATCAAATAGTTTGCTGGATGTTAACCAACTAGAAATTGGTGTATCAGAGGAGTAACGCCATATGTTCATATTTCGTACGTGTATATTCGAATACACTTGAAGTTTATTGTAGAATTGTGGTAACTCTTTTTTTGTTTCAATGACACCAACTGGACTAGCAAATATCACAAATATATCACGATCGGGATTATGACGGGCGGCCGACTCTACTGCACACGCCTCTCTGAAATAAAAGTTATTTTTATTTCAAATAATTATTGAATTTTCGTTGAAAATCGGCCGGATTTGGAACAAAAAATTGACACTCTAGTCAGCCAGGTATTTTGTGACGTTTTTAAGGTTAAAATGTATCACCGAATATCATGAATTCCAAATTAATCAAAAATTGTTGACTTTTCAATGTAAATCAACTGTGGTGTCTCGGAGGCTGACTTATCCATGCTTTTTTTTACATTGACGGTCATGGCATTCATTGTAATTCAATGATTTTGTTAAAATTAAAAAAAAATCACTTACTTTGCGTTCAATTTAACGATGCCGGTTTTCGAGCATGTTGTCTGATGAAAAAAAATTGTTTTGCCTGGTTTCGGTTGTATTTTTGCGTCCAAAATGTCATCAAAATACCGAATTCCATTGTCTTTATTCCCCGGTGACTTATAACAATCACTAATATTTTCAAAGCGTTGTGGTTTCGGTGTGAAATCATCCGTTTCATTCGGAGTGTATTCCGTTTTCTTCAAAACACTTGAATCCGTAAATATGGTAATGATAATTACCAAAACGATTGCCAGCAATAGTAAATAACGTAAATAATGTGAACGATGTGCAGTCATTTTGCCGATGCGAAAAACTTAAACGAGAATTGAAACAAAAAAAATTTTTGTGATTGCTGCCAAATTATCATAACAAAAACATTGTCAACTTATCGCTAGCACATACTTACTCATACTGACATCAAACACAAAAAAAAAAAAAAAATATTAACGAAACGAGTTTTTGTGTTGTTCAAAATGTATGGGAATAAATTAGCATGGAGTCTTTTATCACGGACTATATTCCGATGTGAGTCTAACATGTATACGATAATTTTTGTTTCTCTCGACGATACTACGCTGCGTTGTTTCTTTGATAAAAATGAACCAAATTTATTATTCATTTGGGTATTTAATGAGAACTTTTCAACACAAACACACACCAATGACGTCTGTATGTGTAATAGGAGTACAGTTTTGAAATTTCTCCACCAGTTGAATTAGTAGAGCTGGTATATTCTGCGATACAATTTTATGACAGAACAAACAATAAACGTCGATGCAAGTGAATTCTTTATTCACGAATTTTCTGTTTATTCGAATGAATGTGTTTACAGTAAAATGGCGCTTATTCAGCAGTATTCTCACCGTAAAACAAACGCGAACGAAGTTCTTGTAGAAATGAGTCATTTTATATGGAAATACACTTGACACGATCATTTTCTTGTATACTTTTTGTTCGTTCATTCGTCGTTTTACTGTATTTTACAGATTATTCAAATGAATTTATAACGAATAACTGTCTTCATTTCAATGATCGAGTAAAGATAAGCCTGTCTTAAATTCTGACCTCACCAATCATGGTTTTGTTTTGATTTTATTTTTAAATAAGTCTGAGAATTTTTACTTTTTTGATTCCATGCAAAATACGAATTAACATGATTAATAAAACGTCAGAGCTGTTGTAGACACGGCGGAGGTGCGGGTGGTTTTGTTATAAATGCTGCTCTTTTTTTGTATTGAGGTGCGGCACTCGTCGATTGATCTATTTCATGGAATACACCGGGGACATGCGGTATGCGGTCGAAAACATCAATACGAACAGCTTTTGTCCTACGATTTTTGTGAAATGGTTTTTTATAAAATCACCGCAAAATATTTTTTGGATATATGAGGTACTTTGATAGCTACGTTTTCATTTTTGGTCAACAAAAGAACCATTTTGAATGAAATGGTGCTTTATTCACTTTATATTTTATTTACATCCAAAAAGAGCTCCAAACTTCAACAGTGGCTAGGTCCTGATGATTTGCATTCATTTTAAGTCACTGTAAAGTGTAAATAATATGAAAAAGTTAAGTCTGAAAGGGGTGTATGGTTGAACGCAAAAATGTGTCGGACCAAACGGTGGTTCACATTGGTTCAAAGTCGTAGAACAAAACTTGTTTGTGTTTATATCATATATATCGGTGTATTTCACGAAAATGAAGCAACTGACCCACCCTAATATTAGGAAATTCAATATTATTGAATAAGTGTGGAAACTCATTAATACCCACACTTCTCCGGTGCTAATAACAGCTCTGTTAAAGACTCTAAAATATGCTGACATTTTGAGCTTCTTGAGAAAATGATGAAATATTTTGTTTTCATTTCGATCAGAAACCGGTTTGTTCTAATGAATTTGGAAATCAATCTTCTTTACATCATTCGCCATTGATTTATCAATCATTTGTACAAATAACCGGTGTTTATTTCATTTTCTCTTTCGTTTTAAATTTTAAAAGGGAGCATAGGTCAATCTTCAGCCGCTTCTAAGATTTCTTCCTATAGGGTTTTTTGGGAACGTAGATGCATATATGCTTTCAAATAAAATTGCAATAATATAATTTCAAATTGGACGTAGTGAGCATTCGTTAAAAACAGGTGTTTTCTTCAATTTGGAGTCGTGTCCATCGTCGAAAGATTTTTTAAAAAAATTCCAAGTTATTTTTGTTCTGACCTTCAGACACGTATCCAAATAAAAAAGAAATCGAATGATTGCAGGCATTTGTGGACCGACTCAATTCCACGTCTTCATATCTTCTTATTGAATAATAAAAAGATTTTGACGCAGAATTTTATTTACAAAATGTCTGTACAAATAATCTGTAATTGACGAACAATTCCGCAGGAGGTTATTTTTTGTAAAAAAATTCAATATGTTCTATGTTTGCTATTGAATCTCGACTTTGGAAGGTCAGACACAAATAGATTCGAAGATATGCAAAATCTTGTTCTCGAAATGAATTTGATTGAAGTCGACTGATTAAAAATAAATCCGGTGCAATTTCGGAATATTTTAAATCATGAATTAAAATTTTATTTGAACAAATGTTTCCTCCGTCGTAGAATTTGTCACAATAAAGCAATTCCGGGCATTTCGTCCAGAGGGGTTTTCAAACATATGTTTTTATTTTAGTGGAGTGCATTCGCAATATGGAATTTGACCGAAATTCATGTGGTGAAAATGAACATTTTCATATTTCCACAGCATAGATGATATGGTAGCAGATTTTTGTTGATGTATTTAAATCAATCCCTTGTGGAAATATTTCGACTTCATAGTTGACTAAAAATTGGCTAATTTGGGACAAAAATGGCTGATATTTCGGCCAGTTTAAGTTAACTATAAGTGACTATATGCGTCTTCGTGTAATTTGAGTTGAGAAATGTCGATTGTGATCATAGTTAACTACGGTTAACTATGAGTATATGAAATTGACTTTTGTCAACTATGTTGACTATAATCACTTTTAGTTAACTCTGAAACATAACCGACTATAGTCGATTTCAATCATCTATTGGTAATTTTAACCGAATAAAAGTGATTAAAATTGACTTAATTCATAGTCAGTCAGTCATTTTTTCCACAAGGGATATAAATGAAATTGTATACGAATCAAAAGAATCAACAATCGAATTAGAACCAAAAACACGAAAATATTTGCTCAAATGGTGTTAGATGAAAATATTGAACAAAATGGGTTCAATACGTAATCGATTTTAGTCCCAAAATCGTATAAATATCGTGAGAACTTTGAGCAAAACCATCAGTCAAGTTGATGAAGAATTTAATCAGTTTTTTCTTCCGTTTACAGACAAAAGTAGAAATTATTTATGCGATTTGGACACCTAAACAATTCTTCGACTAGAATACCGAAAAACTGATGCATTTTTCAAAAAAAGAAAAACAATACACTTATTGATTGAGATTTAACGGTGCTAAAACAAACCAAACGATGAAGAACCACTTTTGAATGTTAAGTTAACATTGTTAACCTTCAATTTGGTCAAATCTTATCGCAGAAGAATTGAAGATCTATTATTGAACAGATTATTCCTCATATTTAAAAAAAAAATACATATTTATTCATCACTTCACCCAATGTGAAGTTTTTATTCCCGATTGCCGGAGTTTCTCAAGATTTACATTGCTTTTACGTTGTGTACGCGCTTAAGTAAGCTACATCGAAATGTTGGTTCTCTTTTAGTTTTGATGATTGCTTGTTTTTAATTGAGTTTTTTCATTTCGCTTTGAATCCAACTGACGGACTGATAGACACTAGCAAAAACATCTGGAATTCCTAGTGCACACTGTAAAATAATCGAAATTGAATCAGAAGACTTACATTCACTTTAGTTCAGAAAAACTTCATAGCAGCTAATAGACCATTATGAAAGTAATTGCACTTAAATAAAGTTTTTATACAGCTTCATTAAAAACTACTCACTGGTGCCACCCATGATACAGCGCCAATCAATTCACCATTATGACCAACCAATGGACCTCCTGAATCGCCCTGGCTACATAAAAAAATATTGACTATTATCGATTAACTCAAGCTATTTTTGCATTTCATAAATCTATTCGTATCGATTGTCCACATTGCAAATTCAATTGGATTTATGTGGACGAGAAAGAAAATAATTTTTCAATAATTTTGCAAACACTTACTGAGCCCAAACCAGAAACTATAAACATTTTCCTCTTGTCGATGGCATCGTTGGTTGGTAGTGCAATTGGTTGAATGTTATTTGAGAAAATAATTTGTTCGGCTGTACACAGTATTGAAATATCATTCTTTGCTTCACCTTTATTATCGTATGCTGGATGATTGATGATATGTGAAAATCTAATATATACACCATCATCGTAACTTTTCACAGTTCCAATAATTCCTAGTAGATCAATTGCACTAGAATATTCTGTGCAATGTGCAGTGGTCAAAACGAAGCGATCGCTTATAATCGCTCCGCCACACCAGTGATAATCTTGATGCCAAAAATTGCGTCGGATTGAAACATAATATGGAAATGGTCCTTGCTCTGTATCTTCGCCACAAGGTATACAGGGAAATCTGTCGATTTTTTTTTGGGTCCATATTATATCGGCCACAATACATACCGAACAAAGTGTTAAAATGTATAAATTTATCATCGTCTTCATGTTACGTTTCTCAGTGATTTTATACTCTAGACAATTATATTCCGAATAATTTTAATAGATTGTTTCAGAACGGACAGTTACAAATTGATTCGAACTTATGCAAAATCTTGTTGTCAATTAAACGTGAATGCGCGCTGGGCGTATCATTTATCTAAAATGGATTTGATCAAAACCGAATGATTAAAAATGAGTCGAGTGCAATTTAATTTAGACAAATGTTTTCTCTGTCAACATGCGTCAACCTTACAATTTATTTAAATTGTATTCGGCACACATGGTGGCAAACAAATTGATGTGTAGAATTTGTCAAAATAAAACAATTCCAGGTAATTCGTTCAGTATTCAATAGACTAGCCCCCAAAACACAAAAGTTCTTATTTTTCGGTCTTACCTAAGGGGAGAATCACAAAAGAAAAGAATTAATTTAAAATAATCGACAAATAATCGTAAAACAATCAATAATAATAAGTAAGTAATTTTTAAGTGATTTGCCCCGTTGGATATTTTTCCATATGGTATGTAGATAAAGTGTGTAAAGTTTCATGCCGATAGCTCATCGCTACATGGTGCCGCAAAAGCTCGGTAAATCATTATGTGAATTTCTTGAAAAATGAAGTTTTTGGTTAATATAAATACAACTTTGCACAACCACATCGACTCAAAATGAACGGTAGTCATCATTTTTGACAATAAACTTACTACTGGAGAAGTTTCAATCGATCTGGATGAAAATAAAACACATTTCCATTCAAAATTTTCGATGTTTTGATCAAAATTGAATGTGTGGTACCAAAGGTTTGGTATATACCCATTTGAATGCTTCGTATAACTTGAAGATTATTTAATAAAATTGAATGATAATGCCACCGACAAAATTCGAACTTTTGTGTTTTGGGGACCAGTCTAATGGTAAATAATGTGTGAGTTGATAAAATAAATGAAATTAATGATATTTAACACACTTTTATAGCTGAAAAGAGAATGAATAAAAAAGGATTTTGGTATTGCTCCTTTCATACATTTTAGAAAGAGATCTTTTATTTTATCAAATTATTTCTTTATTATCGAGATATAATTGTTGTCTGGAAGATATATTGTCTCATCGTTTTATTGGCAACGCGTCTTTAACATTTTATTAGACACAAGACAACATATCCCGTGTGCAAAAAAGTGAGCTGGCTGGCTGAAACCAACTGAAAATGAATTTGCTAACTGTTTAAAAAGTATTTATATGATTTTAAACAGACGAATAATTGTGACGTACGTTAGATGTGATTGAAGTTGATTCGAGTTAGTTTTCGGCAACGTCCTATTAAATTAGCTAACTGACTAGTCGGTCACATAGCTCTTGGCCAGGAGTCCAAGTCAATTGAAAAGTGAAGACTTTTTTTAAGTCATCAAGTTTTGGAGTAGGAGAAATTATTTCGATTTGGTATGGTTTTTGGTCGAGAGAAACTCGTTCGATTAATAGTGCAAAGATCGACGATCAGTCACTTTTTTGCACACGGGACATTTTTTGCAAAAAAACCGTTGCTCACATCAAGAACAGATTCAAGGCTAATGGAGAACGACCTCACTGAGAATTCCAGACTCATTTTTATAACTTTATAGATACAACTCTTGATGATCACAAAAAACAAGTATTCCCTATCTTGTTTGGGCCAAAATGTAAAGAGTAAAAGGGCACTTCACCAAAACAAATCATACAAAGTCCATCACATTTTTTACTCATTGCATTCATTCAATGAAAATAGTCTATGACATGCCGACTTTAGACACCATGACAAATATTTACCAAATATGTATTTTGCGTACAAGTAATTTTTAAAATTATGCATTTGGAATGTTTTCGAGAAAAATGTTGTATCAAAAAGACTTGGAAAAATGTCTAATCGGGGCAAGACCGACAAAATGTTAACTTTTGTGTTTTAGGGGTCAGTCTAGTATTCAAACTTTATGTTCAACATACAATATTTGCTTCTTTTTTCACCTCAGAATCCTATTTTTCGCAAACAAATCGAATAAAAAAGTGTATTGGCGGATGCTTAAATTGTTTTTATTTTGTTACAAATTGGCAAAACAACAAATTTTAATGCTTAGTCATCTGACATCATTGTATGTTTCCATTCAAACGACATCCTCAATATAATGGTATCTGAAAAATTCATGCGATATAAATAAATTTTCGAAAAATGTGCTTAAATTATGCTTAATTCAAAAAGAATTTCATCACTTTTGTGTATTCTTCAACCCAATACTGTTCTAAATCGATTGAAAACTCTCACTTTGAGCACTTTTTTTGTACGTAGGCGACTATTTAAGTTTCTTCAATATGTATGTTTTAGTATTGCCCGATGCAAACCATTGTCATATTCGTTAAGTTTAACATTTTGTAGCATAAACGTTCTCAGAACGTTTTGTCATTCGATCGTTATTTGTATTGTTTACCGTAACATGTAAATTGCGTCTCAGCCAAAAAATGAATTTTACTCGTGAAAATTTTCGAGCGATTATTTTTTTCCACTTTCGATTGGGTGTATCACAACAACCGTGTTTTGATCAACTTCATTTGGCCTTTGGCGATGAAGTACCAAGTCTTCGGACAATTTATAATTGGTACAACGAATTCAAGCGCGGTCGCCAATCGCTCATCGACGAGTTCCGCGAAGGTCGTCCAAAATCAGTTGTTGTACCAGAAAACATCGATGCTGTCAGAAATATGATAATGGAAGATCGTCATGTAACATATCACGAGATTGAGGCATCCCTGGGCATTAGTGCGACCAGCGTATTTAAGATTTTACATGAACATTTAGCTGTCAGAAAGATTTGCTCTCGTTGGATACCACATAATTTGACAATCGCTCAAAAAAAGGCTCGTGTCGATTGGTGTAAACAAATGCTCAAGAAATTCAATCGTGGTGTTTCAAAATCCGTGTATTTTATCGTCACTGGTGACGAATCATGGATCTACGCGTATGAGCCCGAAACTAAACAGCAGTCGACTGTATGGGTCTTTCAAAGTGAAGATAACCCAACAAAAGTTGTTCGAGCTCGAAGTGTTGCGAAGCAAATGGTCGCCTGTTTTTTCGCGATAAGTGGTCATGTGGCAACAGTTCCACTAGAGGCCTCGTAAGACCGTCAATTCTGATTGGTACACCACCATTTGTTTGCCCGAAGTGTTTGATGAAATAAGAAAAAACAACCGCCGTCGCAAAATAATTCTTCATCATGATAATGCGAGCTCTCACACATCTCATCAAACAGTCGATTATTTGACCGGTCAAAAGATCGATTTAATGGGTCATCCGCCGTACAGTCCTGATTTGGCACCCAACGATTTCTTTTTATTCCCGAGCGTGAAGAATAAACTGCGTGGTCAACGATTTTCATCGCCCGAAGAAGCAGTTGATGCGTTCAAAACACACGTTTTGGAGATATCACTTTCGGAGTGGCATGAATGCTATGACAAATGGTTCGAGCGAATGCAAAAGTGTATTGATCATCATGGCGAATATTTTGAAAAACAATAAAACCATTTTCGATGAAACCCCATTGTCTTATATATGTTTTTGAAAAAACTTAAATAGTGACCCTCGTATTTAAAGTATTTGACGATAACCAATGAAATGTATTTTCTTACTTGAATATATGGAAGATTATAGGTTCGGCAAGTTGTACATATACGACGTTTATTCAGCTTTTCATTTGTCCAAGTATAGCGATAACCACACAAACCGCACAAATAAGATGATATCCAAGTTTCTTCTGTCCTGAATGCTGATGTGCTAAACATGATTCTTGTGCTCTTTGTTCAAAAACTTAATTAAACATATATTGTGCAATCATTCGATTTTATATCATTTCTTTTATCTCACAATTGAGATCAACAACTAAAACAGCTCAATAAACATTAAAAATGGATACATTTTGGTGGAGCACATTTACAATTTATTTCAATTAATCAGTTGTAAGAATGACTCATTATTCGATGATTTATACGTTCGAAAATAAATAAATAAAGAGTCAAATGATAATAAACATGATAATATCGCAGTACGTTCGTTGATGGTTGCAGTTTGATGAAAAAGCGCAATGGAATTTTGATTTCATTTCAAAAATATTCGCTGCTTGCATAAACCGATGGGCAATTCTTTGCGGCAATCACTTGATATGCGTTATTTGTTCCAACTTTGTTCCATATACGACTGCTGCGATCGTTCCAAACGTGAATTATCGTTGAATTCATCGACAATTCCAGTGTTTCGTTCAATTTATCAACATCAAAATACATCATATAATCTCGCCATTTAATTGGATGGAAGTTTTCTTTGCGTTTCAACTCTAAGCCATCACAAGTTCGCCTCGTCCACAGCGACCGTTGATCGGTATTACAAATATCCGCACACGTTTGTGTAAGTATCTTCGGTCCATTTCCGATGAAATTACTGCCATTGAAATTTTTCGTCAATTGCCTGTATCGAGAAAATTAAAAAGCATCATTAAATTGAACAAAAAATTGATTGCAAACTTATTTAAAATTCTAAACAAATAAATTACTCTAAATATTCGGTTGCAATTTCCCATCCGATGCCGTCATTATTCAAATGCATAATGCTGGTTGCAAGCACTGTGTCCCAATCATCGACGACAAAATCTTCGCCCAAATCGTCAAAGTTCTTTTGCACAACTACATCCAAGTCCAAATAAAACCCGCCAAATTTGTACAACGTCAGTACTCTCAAGTAGTCGGACATATGCTCATATAAGTACTTTGATTGAAAAAGCTTATTGGTTTTGCTCCAATCTTCGACGGGAGTGTCCATTGAATATTGCCATAAATTCATGTTTCGAAAATGAATATTTTCATATTTCCATAGTGTGTCGATGTATGGTGGCAGATTTTCATGGTAATTTATGCCAACCGGTGAAGCAAATATGACAAAAATATCGCGATTTGGATTCAAACGTGCGGCTGACTCAATCGCACATGCTTGTCTAGAAAAACGATAAAAAAAACAATCAATCAACCATCATTTTAAACGATAAACTATCACCAGACATACTTGGCATTCAACTTGGCACTGCCGGTTGGATTGCATGATGTTTCATGGAAAAAAATCGCCTTACCAATTTTCGGCTGTTTTTCTGCATCCAAAATGTCCACAAAATATGTTATCGCATTTTGTGCGACATTGTTTGAAACCAACTTTGAATATTTGTAACACGGAATTTTATTGAAATTGTTATTATTATTGTTGAAAATAAGTGCACTCATGAAAATACACAATATAAATACGCACAATAAAATGAGTAACAATTTGCGACGAAAATAAGCGACGAAGTGCGCTTGTCTATGATTCATCTCGATGAAATACTTTCGGCTCATTGGCGATTGATTGGATCTTTTGACTCTCGGTGAAAGTCACTTGGTTAATGTGTGAGCAAAATGGTTTTGTGTACAGCATTGAAGAATTACCTTTGATCGAAAGTGAAAATAACCATTACGTTTGCGTGTTGACAAAAGGTGTATTCAGAATCGATGATAAGATTGCTAGATAGTATGAGTTATTTTTAATTAACGAGGTTTGCCATGTAAATAACACGATATAGCCGCAGTTTTATCGTAAATATTTCGAAATATGCAATTCACCAATATATCAATAGATCGACGTCAAATCGCTTGGGCTATGCTTACATTCGTAAATGGTCGCAACGTAATGCCAAACTTTGCTATCTTTGGCAGATAAAGAGCAAATAGCAAAAATATTGCTTAATGGCTCTCACTACATGGTCATTATGTAAACAAATGTAAAAAAATACGTTCCTCCCTGGCTCGCCCTTTATTTATTTTTTTAAACTAAACAGGAGTGAACCAAAAGTGTCCAATTCAAGACTTTGCGAAATATGTGATTTTGTGCTGTAAAGTAGAATTCATTATATGTCACAGAGTTTTTAACTTATTATTGGGCATAGACATTGGATATTGGGCTTAAATGAAATTGAGAAATGAGCAAAATTTGATTTGATGATTTTCATAATTCAACTTTAATTACAAAATATTCGGTGTTTTTTTGTGAATCGACAGCTATTTTGCAATATTTCAAATTAATTAATGCTCTGGAGATGCCAACCAGTCTGGTTCTGGCACTTCCCGGCTACGAATTTCTCAGTGATAATGTCATACATTTGATTGTATTACAATCATTGTAATCTTGAAGATGTTTTACAATTTAATGTATTAATAATAATAAATTAATCAATAATTAATGCGGTACAAATCATACATGGGCTCGGAAAAAATTTAAGGGGGTCAATCAGTCAATCGAAAACCCTAGAAAATCGAAAGAATTTTCTCTCGAAAAACCTTAGCAATTTCAAAGATTTTTTCCATTTCTAAAGTTGTTGAGCAAAAAAAATGTCTTCACTTTTTTGGTGAAAATCCCTAGCAAATTCGAATAACTTTCCTTCTTCAAAAGGACATTTCTTCTTTAGTGGGGGGCAACTGCCCCCTGCCCCCACTGTGGACGCCCCTGACTGTCCATCGTAATTCATCACTTAACATTGAAATCCATTGCCACTTTTGAGCAGCTTGAATTCAGAGCATCTTGATTTGCTGCTGCTCAGCATATAGCTGAGAGCTGAGAAATGCTGAACTCGTGCGGCTAACGCATACGAAACGGATGGCACGCACACATGCATTCTCCCCGTTTAAACGGTTATAAACAGTTGATTGGACGTTCAATTCAAAACTCAAAACTTAGTAACCAGTTGAGTTTGAAATTGTGTTGCGACCGACATATGAGAAGCTGCGAGAAAAACATCACGTCGCATCCCTCGTTATTTTGCTTACGTAAGTGAAAGCAAGAGATGAGATGCGACGTGCTGTTTTTGCTCTCAGTCTTTCATATATTCTGAAAGTGTACGTCTAACGCATACGAAACGGATGTGTTACCATTGTACCGGCAATAGCGTCAACGGCAGCACATACGAAGCGAAAGGGGAATATGTATCGTGCATCCGTTTCATATGCGTTAGCCGCACGAGCTCAGCATTTCTCAGCTCTCAGTAATATGCTGAGCAGCAGCAAATCAGGATACTCTGCTTGAATTATTTAGAATTATGTGGAATCCACATTGTGGATATATTTTTGTAAGATTGCACTGTAGTAAATGTAATTTTTCAAAATCTACCAAAAATGTAGCACCCTATTCCTGAATTGGAATCAATATTGTTTGAAAAATCTACGGTTTTCGGCCAATTTAAGAAAATTAAATTAAATCAAGGGAAAGTTAGAATAAATGGTGTATGGATTTGGCTAAATATGCTTTTTGGGTAATCAAGATCATTGTCAACTGTCACAGGAGGCGCACCGTTTATTGGAGTCAAATTGGAGAAATTCTCTAGAGTGTTTTGGGCGTATGGAAGCGAAATTATATTTTAGAACGAAAAACTTCGAAATAAATGTAGTCTGGGCAGACAATATATTTAGCTGCTGTCAACTGGATATTTCAGCTCATCTGGATGCCGTCAGCAGATGATGCGAAGTGAAAACAATAGAAGTGATTGTTATAGTAATACCAGTTTATAACAAGCTTATATACCTATAACAATCACTTCTATTGTTTTCACTTCGTATCATCTGCTGACGATATCCAGATGAGCTGTAATATCCAGATGACGACAGCTAAATATATTGTCTGAGTCTGGGTTTTGGAAAAATATCGTATATTCAAGTTTTTGTTTTTCGCTTTAAAAGTGTGTAAATTATGTATATTAGAGTGTTTCCCATATCTATAGTTTAAAAAATGGTATTTTTCAATTTAAAGAGCATAAAATTCTGTTTTAAGTCGTACCATTAATGTAAAGCACCGATTGATATTGACACTTCCCGAAGCAAAAAACTCTTTAAAGCAAAAATTGTCTAAGGTCTTAATATTGAATTAGTATTATTGAAGTGAACCGAGCCTTATGACATTTGACGATCATTTCTTGGTTTTCGAAATGTCATAAACGCCGCTTCATTCATACCGAGAACACATTATTTTCGATATACGTGCATTTTGTATCGATTTGATCCGAACTTTCCACACTTGATCAATCGATTGACAAATTGTTGAATTCAAGTCACCAGTGTGAGTAAACTTAATCATTTTATTACCGTGAAAAATATTGGTTAATTCATCAATAAAAATATTATTTTTAATGAAAAATCAAAAATTGAATTACGTGCTTACGTGCAGTCCTCTTGATCTTATTGTGAAATTGATTTTTATTTCATAGCGCGTAATATAAGCCATCTATAACGTGAAATATATTTAAGTAGTCTAATAATTATTTAACGTTGAACATATAGTATCATTTCATGAAAAAAGTAATGAATTTCACAATTATTCTGCAGTACATAATTCTGTTGCGTGAGGTGGTGAAATTCATTTCAAGCGGTGATACCCATTTTGAATTGGTTCCATTGTTCAGAGAAGAGAAACAGTTATTGTTTGGGCTCAAATTGAATCTGAATACTCAATAGTATGCGTTACATTGTTTTCTTCTCTAAATCACTGCCATTGTTATCAATCCGAAGATTTTTGTCATTTTTGTGTGCTGCATCATTTTGTGTGTGTACCAAAAAAGGAGATGGATTCTTGTTCTGTTGTCGCTCGAAAAAATTGAATTTAAAACATGTGTGTGCGTGTGTGCATATTTGTGCAGGAGATTTATTCATTCGTAAATTTCTATAAAAAAATCTCGATATGGATCAATGAAAATGTCTAAATATCGCCAATTCAATAATATTCGTTTTTAAACTAAATCGAATGTGTGTGTTTTTTTCAATAGAAAAATGGCAAATCGTTACAAGCCGTCTCTACCAGCTGAGGGAGAAAAGAAAGATGAGATAACGACGATCAAATGTGCACTAAAATCAATAATTCGGCCGCCATACCAGCAGGAACTGATCGGCAAAATAACTGATCTAAGTCTACAGGCTACAATGATTTGCAATTTGGGTTCGTTGCTGTTCTTATTAGAGGTGCAAAAGGCATATGAACGTAGGCATCAACAATGGTGACTTCAGCTTCTTTGCCAATAGCGGGGAAGAAAAGATCAACACATGTTTTAGTCAAGTGCTAGCAAAGCACAACCCATAAAATGTAATTATACTCTAAAATCAACTATGGATAACATGGATTTTACAGTTCTATTTTAATTAATATATTGATTTCAATTCAAAATTCATTTTATTTTCGCATCCATTTTAACTGATTTTTTTCTCTCTTTTCATTCCATTGTAATTCACAATTGTAAATTAATTTACTACCGAAGCCGAAGCCGAAAAAAACACCAAAGCCGAAGCCAAAGCCAGAGCCAAAGCCGGAGCCAGAGCAACCATCAAAGACTAAACGGAAACCCCGTGGACCAGCAAAAGAAATTCCACCAATCGATCCAGAATTCAAGGCAATTGTGGAAGGTCTTGATGAGGTCCATCGCTTTGATTGGCCTAGCAACAAAGATTTCGGTAATGGCCTCAAACATCTATGCAATCAATACATAGACAACAATGTCACCAATTCGCAAACACATTCGGATAAACACATAACCCAATATCTGAAGATGAAAGTGTTTCAGATGAACACAAATGAAGCCATTGATGAGAAATACCTGCCAAGTGACATCGACTGTGTGGTGAAACTCATTCTCAAGGAAAAGGTATGTTGAAAATGTTTATTCAAATCATGAAAAGAACTGAGTTTTCAATGGTTCATATTGCTTAAGCTTACAATGGTTTTTTTTTGACTCGTTGACATATTTTTTTAAAAATGAATTTATTCTATTTCCCTTGTTTCATTGAAAAAGGTCATCAAAGTGCCAGCTAGTGACCCAAATAAACTTTATCGGTGCGGAGTTTTGTATGACATCGTCAATAAGTTGAATGTGTTCCCGGAAATCGACCTACATGATCTCACGACCAATTCAAAAAATTGGTTCAAAGCTGTGCCGATGTATCTATCTATGCAACGCGAGATACCAGGGGCTTTTATGTTAAAATGAATACTACGATTTCAGTAAATATTGAAACATAATGCTGAATATTCAATGAATATTGTATGTATATAAAGAATATACACAAATAAATGTGTATAATTGCATAAATTTGATGAATATTTCGTGAATATTTCCTGTATATATGAAATATACATATTTTGTCATTCTCTTTAGTGCGGACTTTCTTCGTTCCTGTGTCGCTTACTGTGAATATTCACAACATACAGTAGAAAATACGAAATATTCACTAGAGATTTATGCCGTATATATGATGAATAAGACGTGTATATTGTGAATATTATGTGAATATTTCGTATATTCATATACATAAAAGCCCCTAGGCGAGATAGAAGAATTTAATTTGCTGCGAGCACATCAAGAGCCACCGAAGAAACGCAAAAAGAGAAAGCGCAGAAGACCGAAGGGTAAGAAACGACAGTGGATCATCAAACGAAAACAAATGCTCGACGATTTGGAATATCTACCGTGCATTCGCAATTTGGTGGTAGTTCCGATGTGTGATTTTCGGCGTACGCATTTCAAAATCGACTGTTCGAGTATGTATCAGATCTTGTCTTCTCAAAAATTGATTCCGAAACAGTTAACTGAAGACGGAAAACCAAGTGACAAAAATATTTCACAAAAGGTTTTCAACGAGAATAAAGATTACATATGGAATCAGTATTTTTATATGCGTAAAATTCGGTGGTTTGTCCGCCGCAAAAAGAAATTTGACTTTTCGATAAACAGCGATGGAATTGCTGTGTCTCTGCAGTATTCCACCAAAAAGAAGGAGACCAGCAACACACAATCGGGCACCAGTCGATTGGACATCATTGACATGTTGAAGGCGGGCAGATTCAAAAGATTGGGAGGTACAGATTCAGGCATGCGGAACTGGAATACCACAACAATACATGAAATCGATACTTGCAAAGAAGTATGTGTAGTATACTAAAATACAATGATGCACATTGTGTTTAAGTTCACTAATTATTTTTGTTTTTTTTTTTTCGATTTATTCGCAGATCAACTTTGTTAAAAAGAGCAAGCAGTTCCATTGGGAGACACATCAAAACGTACGGAACGCAAAAGCGAAGCGATTCACGAAAAATTTCATCGAAAAAGAAAGACAGGATCGAGAGAATCGTGAGCTGTACGCAATCATGCCATCACCAAAAGGTTCACAGTGGCTGAGCTATATTAAACATCGAGTTAAGATGACCAAACATGGAATCGAAGCTTACTCGACTGCAAAGTACACTAGACTCGCCTTAGACAAATACATTGGGAGCAACAAAGTTATCGACGGATTTGTGAACAAGATCACCAATAAGGAACCGACTCTGTTATTCCATGGTGCTGATGGCGAAGTACCACCTGATTGCTCGATAAAAATAAAGAAACACGTGCGGTGTCCGGGTGTGCGCAAACTGATGCAGGCATATAAGAAGCGACCATACATTGTTGTCGTGCCGGTGGACGAATGGGGAACATCTCAAACAGACGCAAGATGTATGTGCCGATTCCAAAACCAACCCAAATCGGCCAAATTCAAGATGTGTCGGTGCATACCCAACGCCATAACACTGCTGCCAACCAAAATTGTGTCTAAGTTTGGCAAGACAGATACATCTACATATCGACAGTTACAACGCACATTGAACGGAGCATTTGAAATAGAAGAGGAGCTAATGTCAAGAGTAAAACCTTACTACAAAAAATGGCAATTAGACCTCGAATGCACCGTGACTTGGCATCGTGACGTCGTGGCTGCTAAGAACATTCTACTGAAAGGTAAGGATATTGATACACAATGTGATTGAATGATCGCAAAAAAAGATTCATTTTTTCGATTGATCAGGACTATGGACATTGCTTTGACTTCCAATACCTGCTGCAATCAACCGATATTGGAATCAAATCAACGCCGATGCCGCCGTCTTCGACGACGATAACGACGTGGACATATCCGAGCCCGAGTTCGAATAGCAGCCAACTAATCATCACAATACCATACAATAAAATAAAATAAATCATAAGTAACATTTGTTACGTAACTGCTATCCCGAATATGTGGGTTAGTTATGCACAAAAAAAGTCATTTCCCATTTGGTTGAGATGGCTGTGCGGGAGTACAAACAGAGCGTTTTTCCATTGTAAGTATCATTAGATTTTGAAAACAGTTTTTTGCTTCGGGAAGTGCTAACATCAATCGCTTCGTTGTATAAATGCCATTAACTAACATAGAATTTTGCCTACTTTAAATTAATAAATACCATTTTTCTATTTACAGATATGGGAAACACCCTAATGTATATTGTTTCGTTTAGTTTCATAAAAATGTGTTCCACGTAAATTATAAACTTGTTTACAGTTTCGAAATAGCTCTCAAAATTCTTCTGTTTTTTATTTTTTATTGCAAAAATATTTATTGACTGAATATTTGGCAATATTTTCGAGATAGAACCTACGTATAAAAGGACCTGACAACACTCACTACATTTAGTACGTTTCAGTAAAATTGGTACGTAAAATTTCTCAACGAAAAATAATGAAGGTGCTTTTATTCTTGTCATTCGTGGCAATATTTGATCAGGTAAAAGAAACAAAGTGACTTCAAATATATAAAAAAAAAAGTAAAAAAGATTAATTGATCTTTTGTCATCAGTTTACGTTGATAAGATGTGTTAAAATCGCAGCTGATAGTCCAGCCTTTACAACATTATTGGATAAATTGATACCAAAACTAAAGATAGTCGACGCGTCCAAAGATTGGGATCAAGCATTGAAACCACTCTTCAAACTTTCTAGTCATATTATAAACGATGGTTCAAATGATTCATTTTACTGGGTAAACGGTGATCCAAATGCCAACGTCTTTTTCAATCGTACAAAAATATTGGCTCACATCCCCAGTACCAGTCCCTATCAAACATTTCGCTCCGTGTTGAGCGATTATATCAGAGATCTTAACATAAATCATAGATCGGTTTGCCAGCGTCATATTTTTATTTTCAATACATTTCTAAATGAACCAAAAGCCAACGATACAGACGGTTACTTAAAAGCGTTAAACAAATTTAGCAATACCAAATCAATCAAACCAAAACACCTTCAAACAATTTATGAAGCATTACCCGGTATGAGTCAGAGCCATAATACCGCATTCAATGAATTGAAGGAGAAAATAGCATCCGTAATGGCAATCAGGAAGGATTATTTGGCTGCCGAAAATGCACTCTACGCAACAGTTACAGGCAAATTCATTGGAAAGTTTAAAACCGAAGAATATGAGCCGGAGAGAGTCGATGTATTACTTTCGGCAATTAATGAAGTAAAACAAAAGTTCAAGACATTGAACAAACCGCTTCAGGAAGCTGTTGATATTTTGGAGGTTTATATTTTGAATAGAATGAAATGGTCGGAAGTGTTGATGGATGTTAAATTTTTTAATCGACCGAAAAAAACATTTTTTGAAAAATTTTGTTTTCTTTTACCAAAGATGCCATGAAAAAACATCAGCTACAAATATTGACGGGTATTTTTTTTAAACATGTGTTTTGTGAAGATTATTGCCACTCAATTGCTCTGTGAAAAAATATCATGACTCATGACTCATGTTTATTGACAAAATAAAATAATAAAATGTCTTACATCCGTAAGATGAACTTTTCCGCACTGTGATCCACAACATGCATTTATTACGTATCTTTTACCGTAAATATGAATTCATGAGAAAACTGAATCTGATATAAGTTTTGCGATACAAATAATTTTTGATAGACTTTTCAATGCCTGTATGATATCGTAATGACGTGAAACTTTGCACAGGGTATTTTTTGACAAAAAGCTAACATTCTGAAAGTTTGAAGAAATTTTAATACAATTGAGTGGTACCTTCCATACAAAATTTTCGTTTTTGATAAAAAAAATCCAACATTTTGTTCGAGATAATAAAACTAATGTCATATTCGGTTTTCTCGTACCAAAAAACCCCCTAATACATATTTTTGAGTGTTATTGAATTTTTCCCATGGATGGCCATGGGCATCACACCAGACATGACACTTCACTCTATCAACCAAAGTCGCTCAAAATCTAATGGTTTTTATTCCTCGGCACCCCCAATCATCCTGTGAAGTCAGATTTTGAATTACTTTTCTGAAAAACGACTGATTCGTGTTCCCTGACCCCAAAAACACCCAGAAAATACATTTTTGATGGGTGTTAATTTTTCGACCGATTCCAATACTTTACCTCACACACTGGGTGTATGTCGAAAAGTAATAATGATAACAAATAAAACGCAACTTCGATTTTATTTAATCAATATTTATTCAGAAAAAAATTTCAGCATATCATATCACATAATGTCAATATCATGATAATAAACATTCTCCCAAATGAGAAACAAGTTTAACATGGCAAGTGGATTCAATGACTTTTTAAAGAAGATACTTTTATACAGGAAAAAAATCGAAATGTTTCAACATTTTTACTTGAATATTTCAAATTTGGGATGGAATTCACATTTGAATACTCAATACAATTGTGCTATGTAAACAAAATTAGTCTAAATAAATTCATAATAGTAATGGGAGATCGACACATATTGCGTCGTCAATTGTCGTCGTGTAGGCTCTACCACCGATTGATTGTAGATAAGCGTATACGTCAATATTTTAGTAGGATTTAAGTTACAATTGGGCAGGAATTATTTAACCAGGTGTAACGACGCAGCGCCATGACAGAGACACCAAGCTAGCCCCCTAACTCAAAATCAATCGTGAGTTGTCACAGAGCTAAGGTATCCAATGAAAGCGGAATGAACGGAATGTCAATTTAAATGTTGATAATTACCACCCTTCAAACCGCGGTAAAGTTCCAAGTTACATCCTTCGGATCTGAAGCTCACGTTTTCATTCGGTACGTTTCTCATCATTGATAAGTTATCAATAAGCTTCAAAACCATTCAAGAAGTCACCCATTCGAAACATTTGTAAAGTTTAGATGGGAAAACCCATTTTTCTTTGTTCTCCTTTTTGCAATAGGGTGTTGACAAGAAAAGGGATTCTATTTGGTAGGGTTTTCTGATAGGCGGAAGGACGCCCTTAACTTACGAATTCATTGAATTGATCAAAGTCACTCCAGATACTTATGGAGTCATTCGATCGAAATGTGTTCAACAATACGTGTTGTTGTCACCCAGCGCACATTTTCATTGGAATTACATAAAAGTTATATTTAGTATATTTATTCCGTGCATTTAGCTTTGGATGAAAAAAAATTCGAATTGTCAATTCCAAACCGAACTAACTATGAATTTAAGCATTTATCACATTTTCGGACGATTTCAACGAAAACTTTTTTTAGTGTTATTTATCATAGTTATATGTTTTATATATTTACGTGCATTGATATCTTCTAGATTAAGTGAACAAGTACAAATTCCGTGTTATAAGCATCCGAACGATTCGCCGCAATCACTATTCAATTTCCCTGATATTCTTGATGCAGAAAAACAACCATTGCCCGGCAAATCAATCTTTTTCCACGTCGAAACATCGTGCAATGCGGATGGTATTGCCGAATTGAATGCAAAGTTTGTATTGTTATTCCAATTGTTTTCTTAGTTTCTGGAAAAAAGAACATTCTTCATTGTTTTGTTGTAGACAAGCCTGTGTCATTGAGTCGGCAGCACGTTGGAATCCAAACCGTGATGTATTCGTTATATTTGCGTCACCAGTTGGCATAAGAGACTATCCACATTGGCCTCCGTTCATTGAACAACTCAAGGAATATGACAATATTTACTTTCGAAATATGAACTTGTGGCTCCGATTGAAGAATGGGCCAAAACCACTCAACCCTTTCGCACTTACTATTCGAATGAGTACCTGTCCGATCATTTTAGAGCGTTGACTTTGTATAAATTCGGCGGTTTTTATATAGATTCGGATGTGATCGTACAGAAAAGTCTCTATGATTTGGGCGATGAAGATTTTGTCGGCGATGATTGGGACGATGTAGTTAATGACGGTGTTATGCACTTGAATAATTACGGTGTTGGACGTCAAGTGTCTGGTCGATACTTGGAGTAAAGTCGAAACACTCGATTTGGATTTGCACACATTTTTTTGACTGTATCACTATTGTTTTAGGAAATTGATGGAACATTTCGAAGGACAGATTTTGATAACAAATGGACCACGATTATTGACAAACATTTTCACCGATATTTGCAAAATGGAAGATCACACCTTATGGAATCACATTGTTATCAAATGGAAAAATCAAAAGACATACGTCAACAAGAAAAAGAAAACAACAAAGAATATTATCACTTGCAGTCAGATTGAAATAGCCGAAAAAAGACGAATTGCAATTGAAAGATTGCATCAAACACGAATGAAAAATACAACAAAAAAATGCACGGCCGAAGAAATTGAATGCAAACGGCGTATAGCACAAGAACGATTGAAAAAACATAAACAAAGTCTTAGTTTCCATGAAAAAAAGCTACAAATAGGTTTAAGTTCGAATTTCATTTCATTTATTATATAAATTTAAATTTTTTTTTTTACTTTTAAAATATACGTCTTAATTATACTTAATTAATAGATTATAAAGAGGAAGAGAAAAAAGCAGTCTATGTATTTCGGATGGATATCCATCCGAGATATTTTAGAATATCTGGATATTCAACGCAACGGTATGTCGCGACGTATATGTGTATCAAGTGCCGCAGTACACAGTCACACTGTGTCTGTATTTTATGTGTAGCGACATACCGTAGATTATATGTGCGACGCACACAGCTCTGGCTCTGTGCAGTTGCGTTAAATATCCAGATATTCTAAAATATCTCGGATGGATATCCATCCGAAATACATAGACTGGAAAAAAGTAATAAAAAAAATTCAGATTTAAATTTAATTCATGTGTGTATGTGTGTATTTTTTAATAGAACTGGTTGCTTAATGACTGATCGAAAAAGCCATATCGAGCACTTCGGGAACAGATGAAACTGTTTTAATTTCAAGCAGACGCGGATCGATGTTAAATTTGAAACCAACCAAATTATCGATTGGTATAAAGAATGTCTTCATGTCATTATCCAAAGCTGCCGATAGTTTCCCAATGAGGCCATCTATTCTACTCACTCGGCCAGTAAGACTCACCTCGCCGGTAAAACATTTAGCTGAATCTACCGCCCGCTTGAATATAGCTGAATGGTATGCAACTGTCAATGCAAGACCACAGCCGTTCCCATCGAACTTCATCAAGATACTGTTCATTAGCACCTTGAATTTGGTATTAGTTTCACTCAAATTATTGACACGTAGTGTATAGTTACGAGCAATTTGTGCAGCTATTTTGGATTCGTTCACTATGTTTTCGGAGTATTGGTTTTCATGATGGTCGATTTTCACGACTTCGATAATATACATCGACCCGATTTCGTTGACATTGACCCCAATCCCATTAACTCTGCCGATGGGAATTTGTCTCTCTTTTATCCATGGTGGAATCGAATTGTAACCATCAATCGAGACGATAACGTCATCTTCGGTTTGTTTGCTATGTAAGCAAGAAAAGAAGAAGAAAAAAAACGAAAATAATATGAAAGGTTGTTTGATAACGTTGTGAAAATGTATACAATCAATATCATTATAAATACAAATAGACTTACAGAAAAACACATCGATATGTCTTTTTTTTCGTCGATTCCCGTAGATGGTTTCGAATGAGGGATCCTCTCTCGCCTGAAACATCCTCCATACCATCGACGCTACACAAAATCGCTTGGAATGGGTAGCGATTGCAAACCGCGCTCCAACTGAATAAATGTGAAACATCCGTTTCAACAAAAAAACCAGTGTCGACTAGAAAAACCAAATATTGTTGATCATAATACTTGGCCACCACTTTGGCGCGATAAAACTGACCATTTCTGTTGCGAACAACCACCAAATGGTTAACGTCTATACAGAAAAAAAGAAAAACCAAAACAAATTTCTTCTATAAATAAGGTATATTCGGTTAAAAAAACAAAAATTGTCTGGATTTAATTAAAATACACGTAAATCTATTAAACAATTATAGAAAAAATAAATGAATGAATGAACGAAGTATACCTGGCGAACGAAGCGGTGTTTCGAATTTGGTATTTTGGAGCTTTTCCAATTGATACGGAACAAAAATGTCATACCGGTGTTTTAATTGTACATAAACTTTATTCACACTGTGTATGCGGCTGATGTATATATTGGTCATTTCGAAGTTCGACGGCAATTGAATACGACGATCGATAGTGGTTTTAAAACATCTATCCTCTTCATATGCATTTGCATTGATTGTGTACCTCGAATGTTCATTGTTCAAATGAACTGACACTTTTTTTCCACGAACCTTTGCCATAATTTCTGTTTTCGCTTCGGTGTGTACTGCGATTAAAAAAGCACGTCGTTTGTATGGATTCATTGGCACATATACAAATTCAATGTCTTTTTTATCTACATATTTATGAATAATATCGATCACCGCACTTTCGTCGAAATTTGGTGGGAAATTCGACAAAACAACACATTTTAACATTTGTTCGTCACTAAAACGGGGCATGTTGATTCCGTTTTTCGTTGTGTTCTTCACTTTTTTTTAAAGAAGAAATAAAAAAAACGAACAAGACTGGTTGGTTAATGAAAATGTGTGCACTGCCAAAAATTGTACACTTTCTTTTTAATTGTGTGTAACATATGTATGTATTTTCAAACGAAAGTAATTAAACTTAATCACAAAAAAAGAATAACACGTGTGTTACGCTGTTTGTGTTGACAATTGATATTGAAGTGTTGTTGACGTATACACAGATACGCCATTTTGACGTTTATAAGGACAACATAGTTTTTGTACAGCAATACAAACAATGGTTCACATCGAAACGGACCTGGAAGCAAGCACAAAAACGAATGCTTGCTCGAGTATGTCTGTATTTAGTTTGCTGCTGCTGCTCGCATTGCTCCAAAAAAAGCAGCAATTATGATAAATCTAATAAAATATAAAGCGATTTTATGAGAAGATGAAAAATTAAAATAATAATAAACAGAAAACACACAACATGTTTTGTCAAAGCTAGCATTTTTTGTCAATTTTTTTATTTTGCTTTTTTTGGAGCAATACGAGCAGCTAGTAAATAAGCAAGTAGTCTTTAAAAATTACTCTCTGCTACTCCGGTTGCTCAAAAAAGGTTTATTACTTGCTGATCGAAACACACATCGTCGCAAAGAAGGAAAACAGTACAAAAGTGAACAAAAAAACCATACGGCCGGACATTAATCGCACCAAATTCGGTTTGCATGCAAAGAAAGCTAAACAAAATGCGAGAGTTCAATTTAGAAAAACGTGTCAATTTGCTTGATAATAAACATACGTTGATGCATACGAATAGTGGGCATTTTCGTTCGTTGTGATTAATTTCGGAATTGGTTGATTATCCAATGAATTGTCAACCGTTTGTACTGGTGGCACCACAACCGGATTGGCCGGTTTGACACAAGATGGTAGCGGTGGCTGTGCTGGAGCCGTGTTTGGTGATTTTTTAATCATTGGTGAGCTTGGAATGCGTTTTGTTGTCAGTGGACTTGCTTTACTCGCTGGCTGTTGTGGTGGACTCTCAACACTATTTTGATTCGGTTGATATAAATCCAATACCTAGAAAATACAATAAATAAATGATTAATAAAAGATTACAATCACTTTATAAATAAGATACTCACTTGATGGCAAATATCTTCAAGTAGTTCCATTGTAATATCAGCAACAAACATGTCCACCTTATGGACAAGAGGTCGATGTGATGGACTCAAATTGCAACCCAAAGAGTCATTTTATCCAGTTTCACGGTCGGATTTTATGATGTACTTTGAACCTATTGACTTGACAAAGGCACTGGAATTAACCAAAAGGTCGACCTTGATTCACGTGTGGAACGATAAAAGCACCCCAATATGGAATAAAATAGGAACGAATAATGCATACCAAGTGATCGCCGAAAAGAATTGCCCATTTGTTTATAAGAGTGCCGAATTGTTCTGAGGAGCAATTCACGAATGTTTGTAAATAAAACACGATTTTTTCAGTTTTTTCGTTTTTTATTTTTTTAGCGGTCCATAAAAAGGACCCCTTATTCAATAAAAGGCTTGAATGACGAAAATACTGAAAAAATCGTGTTTTATTAATTGCGCTATATGTAATTGACTTTTTCAAGCGTTTTCAAGGTAGTAAAAAAATGGTGTTTGGCTAGTTTTTTCATGTTTCCTTTCTATACTGCATACTGTTGAAAATTCAATGAACACTGGACAGTGGACATATGCACATAAAAAAAGACCAACCATTGCTTTGGGGTAAATTTTTATTGATCTCTTTCAGCCTTCCTTAATTCTAAAATATATTCTTTTCAAATCGAGATGTGTATATTTAGATAGATTCAAGTCATAATTGTCTTTTTTTTGTACTATAAAATCGAATAACTCCTAAACGTTGTCACATTCTTTGCTAATAGAAAAGTATACCTATAAGTTTTGTTGACAAAGATTCTGTAAGATTTTAAAGTTCTTTGGATCAATCAAATCAAAAATATTCGCTGCTTGCATAAACCGATGGGCAATTCTTTGCGGCAATCACTTGATATGCGTTATTTGTTCCAACTTTGTTCGATATATGACTGCTTCGATCATTCCAAACGTGGATCATCGTTGAATTCTTCGACAGTTCCAGTGTTTTGTTCAATTTATCAACATCAAAATACATCATGTAATCTCGCCATTGAATTGGATGGAATTGTTGCTTGCGTTTCAAGTCTAACCCAACACATTTTTCGCGTGTCCACAGCGATCGTTGCTCGGTATCACAAATATCCGCACACGTTTGTGTAAGTATCTTCGGTCCATTTGCAATGAAAACATTACCATCGAAATTTTTCGTCAATCGCCTGGATCGAGAAAATCAAAAAGCATCATTAAATTGAACAAGAAATTGATTGCGAACTTATTTAAAATTCTGAACAAATAAATTACTCTAAATATTCGGTTGCAATTTCCCATCCGATGCCGTCATTATTCAAATGCATAATGCTGGTTGCAAGCACTGTACTCCAATCATCGACGACAAAATCTTCGCCCAAATCGTCAAAGTTCTTTTGCACAACTACGTCCAAGTCCAAGTAAAACCCGCCAAATTTGTACAACGTCAGTACTCTTAAATAGTCGGACATGTGTTCATATAAGTAGTTTGATTGAAAGAGCTTATTGGTGTTGATCCATGCTTCGCCCGGAGTGTCCTTCGAATATCGCCATAAATCAATGTTTCGAAAATGAATGTTTTCATATTTCCACAGCATATCGATGTATGGTGGCAGATTTTCATAGTCATTTATGCCAACCGGTGAAGCAAATATGACAAAAATATCGCGATTTGGATTCAAATGTGCGGCTGACTCAATGGCACACGCTTGCCTGGAAATAAAAAGGTTGAAATAAATATTCTAATTAAAAATTTCGGAAATGTTTAAAAATAGCGACAAAATTCGAATTTGAAAAATCAGTCCAATGTGAAAATGCCAAGTTGAAATTATGACTCATTTAACTTACTTTGCGTTCAATTTGGCAATTCCATTTGGATGACACGATGTTTCATGGAAGAATATCGCCTTTCCGGACGTTGGCTGTTTCTTTGCATCCAAAATGTCTTTGAAATAGGTAATTGAACTCAATGCCGAAGAAATGGCACCATCAAATGGATATTTGTAGCAATTTGTAGTTTTGTCATCACTAAACAAACTCATGAAAATCCAATAAACCAAAATAATGAATAAAATCATGAAGAATATGCGTCCATATCGAACGGAAACCTGTTTTGTACCCAATTTGAAGTATTCAAATCGACGGAAAAATGATTGGCGATGCCTATCGGCATATGGAGCCGATTTATCCAAAAGCAAGCCCATTTTTGTATTGAATTGAATGACAACCGAAACCAACAATATGTGAGTGAAAAGAGTGTCCGAACAATAGTCCCATGAATTCGTCTCAATAAATTTTAACACAAAATTGATTACAAGATAACATAAAGAAAAATTGAACACGAATTCAATAAAAAAAAGCGTTAAATAAAAATGACGATCACAGTTATACATGCACAGGTGTTTCACAATCAATTTATATCTCCATTTATACGATACACAATTGCATTTGTTCGTGCCAGCAATATCATTTTTGATTAGATGACATAACCTAATCACTCAAATTGAATTGTTCACCTTGGGTTTTGACAGTGTGCGTCAGTTACGAAAACACGAAACAAAGCACAGACACGAAGAAAGTATGTGTGTATACGCTTCATGCTTTGCATATTATTCTTTATTCACCTTTTCATCCGTTTGCATATATTTTGACAAAGGCTGCTTCAATTCATTGCAAACAGATGGAAAATGAGAATAAAGAAGAAGCATATATACACTATATATATTTTGTGTTTTCGTAACTTACCCACGATGTCAAAAATCTGAGCAAACTGTGCAATTTGAATGCTTGGAAGGTCGATAAGTAATACGCGAAGGAATGACGTTCATTTCCCAATGTGAAAAAAAATCGTGTTTTATTTACAAACTTTCGTCGTGTTTCGACTTAATTCCAAGTATCTACCAGACACTAGACGTTCAACACCGTAATTATTCATGTGCACCGTCATTAACTACATCGTCCCAATCATCGCCGACAAAATCTTCATCGCCCAAATCATCGAGACTTTTCTGTACGATCACATCCGAATCCATATATAAACCGCCAAATTTATACAAAGTCAACGCTCTAAAATGGTCGGACATTTTGGCCCATTCCTTAATCGGAGTGTCCATTGAATATCGCCACAAGTTCATATTTCGAAAGTAAATATTGTCAAATTTCTTGAGTTGTTCAATGTTTGTTTTTCTGCATCAAGAATATGAAAATTGAATGGTGATTGCGGGTGATTGTGTCGAATCGTTCTGGTGCTTATAACACGGATTGAAAATAAATAACATAACATTATCATAATCATATTCGACACTAATGCAAGCAAATACTACTTAAAATTACAATAATCAAAATCCACAAAAGTTTACATTGAAATCGACCGGGGATATGAAATCGATTCATTGTTAAACTGTTTTGGTGAGGAATCCCAAGAAACGAATTACAAAGTGATATTGTTGAAACAGCCTTATCATTCAAATCTTTAAGTCGTACTGAAAAAACTTAGGTTATGAAAACGACAACTGGAAGTTGAAATGTTTCAAATTCAAACAATTTTCAATAGTTTTGACAGTTCTGTCAATTTTCAAACAACGTTTAAACATTAAAATTCAATAACGACTAAAAATTACTCCAATAAAATTGTGATGTGTGCAATTGGCAAACATTAAACACAGGTTTCAATTAGATGTATGTGAGCGGCGGATATGGTGTGATCGTTGATAAGATAAGAAATCAATCGATATGAGGACAAAAGTTGGGATGGTCGATTTCAGACGAATGACTATACCTGATAAGAAATTTTTGTTGAAAAATATCTCTTCGGCGACAATCTCTGAGAGAACCATCAAAATCTTAAAAAATTGCCGAAGCGATCAAAAATTCATTACCGATTTATATTCGTAAATTCCCGCCACTCGTTACTAATTACCGAATCAAAGGCCACTTCTTATCAGCTAGTAACAATAGACATTGGTTCCCCGTTTCTAAAAGCGACTTTTATTTCCATCGAACCATTTTATTAATGACTTATTGTCATTATTTATAAGTTATTGATAGTGGGAATTAAATAAATCTTTACACAATGTGAAGGCACTCATGACTATTGTAAAATTAAACAACTTACTCTGATGGAAACTATGTTCTGAAATATTGTAAGACATTGGTGACTGGATGTTATCAAGCTAGATATGTTGATAAAAAAATATTCTGAATTCGGTTCAATGAAGTGATTCTTCCACAAAATTTTCATTATAAGTAGTACGAACCTATGATTAAAAGTCCAAAAATTATTGAGCACCATTTTTAAACAAATCTTTTTACACCCCAACACATCTTTTATACCAACTATAAAAAATGCCACTCAATGTTCAGATTTTATTTTTTTAAAAACTGGTTAATAAAAATATTTTTCAACAATCTAAAGTTAAGTGTGTGTTTCAATAATCGAATTCTTAAGTAACTATAAAAGTGGTTATGGACAAGTCCATATTTATCTTAATGCTTGGAATTGCTGATTTAACGGATCTATTTGTTATCTAACATTTCTTAAGAGAAAAGTGGTTTTTTTTTAATTGTCAGCTGCATATTTTGTGTTTTTTCTGAAGTTATTTGAATTTATTTTAAGATGATTTGTTACCAATTTATAAAACCGGTGACTTGTTACCAAATTCCATCTCTTTTTTTCATTTTCTTGGTTTTTTAGATTTTTTCATAAAATTGATATAAAATTAAAGTTAATTATTTAATTAATTCCTTAGTAATTAAGAAATAATTATTTTAAAAGTAAAAGAAAACCTTTCCTTTAAAAAAGGAAAAGTAAAAATTCAAAATGAATTATAAACGTCATTAAAAAAGTTTTTTGACCTTAATCAAAAATACTATGTGTTTTCAGTGTCAAAAAAATTGAATTCAATTCAATAAAACATCTTAATATTAATAAAATGTTGTGAAAAATGTTTGAAAAAAATGAATCATAAAAAATGATGTGAGAATAAAAAAGGTATTCCAAAGTTTTTTCTTTCAAGAAAGTTTTTCTCAACAAAATAACCGCCAACTAGTGACCCGGGATTGAGCCAAGCCGAAGCGTCGTATTTTTTATCCTCACTGAATCAAATTTTAATGAATCGAAACGATAAATTTATGGATGTCTTAAGGATCTTGTCCTGCATGCTCTCCAAATTGAACATGGAAATGAATGCCATTTGTATACTTTGTGGTGCTATTCTTCTGTTTGTTGGTTAAATTCTGTTCGGTTTGTTTCTTGGATATGATTGCCGACGTATCAACCTGTTCGTTTGGATGTTTATCTTTGAAATGATTCAAAATGTTACTGAACGTGCCGCCAGTTTGGTCCTTACAAACGTTGCATTTAAATTTGTGCACAATTGTTTCGGAGATGGCAACTTTATCATTGTTGCGATGAGCGTGCTGATATATAATTTCGCTGTTCGGATGTTCGGTTAAAATATGATTACGTACGTAACTTTTTTTCAAATAAACACCATGGCATATGCTACATTGATGCAAATCTGTGCTGTGCATCAAAGCATGAGCGGTTACCGACTTACCTAAGGGGAGAAAAAGAAAAAATAGAATTAATTTAAAATAATCGTAAACATATAATGAAAATGAAAGTTGATAATTAATGAGTAATGACTTACCCGTCGCATAATCCTGACCACCATCACCTTTGTTGATTATTTCACCGCAGAAACAATCATATTGTTTGACTTCATTATGCTTGCCATCAAAATGTGTCCGAAATTCATCGGATGTTGTAAATATTTCGGTACAGATGGTGCACTTAAAGAGTTGGGTGGAAAACCCGTATTTTTCCGACACCACTGAATTGACTGGCGAAAGGTCTGGTATCAATGTTAGCCTTTCGTAATGGTCTGCCGGCGATTCGAAACCATGTTGAACGGTCAAGTGTTTTTCCATCGACGACAAATGGATTTGGATGTAATTACATGATTTACACATGTATGCCATCAATGAACCGTTCGATGCATTCAATTCGAAACCATTCACCACAGTGCCGGAACAATTTTTATGATCATTGTGTCGTTTGAATGTTCCATGACAAGTGACGCAGGTGAATAAATTTTCACCAGTATGTAGCGTAAAATGGCTCGCCCAATGACCTATTGCCAAATTGGAAATATTAAAATGATGATTGAAACACTTTTAACTATTTTTTTATATTTACCTTTTGGCATCGACCTGGTTCGGTCGCAGAAAAAGCAAAATCCTTCAATTTTATTGCTTTCCATTTGGAAATTGTCGGTTTGGGCCCGTAGACGTTGTGACAGTTTTGGTGATAGTCGAGATATCGGTACTTCATGGTCGCGATGATTTTTGACATAATGCGCCACCAAATATTTATGATGAGTATTGCAATAGATGCACAATGTTTCGTAAAATGGATTTTTGATGTACATGTTAAGATTGGTGTTTTTTCGTTCGATCTGTTGAGCTTCGATCGGCGAACCGAATGCCAATGAATAATTTCGACGAACTTTTCGCGGTGGTTGAAAACTTTTCGCGGTGGTTGAATTTTCGCAATCGGTTGCGCTTGTCTCCGGAGATGGTGGTGGTGGTGGTGGCGGTGAAGTATGGTTTTCTTCATCTAACACAATTGTTTAAATTAAGAAATTGTTAAAGAAAAAAAATGTTCAATTATTCAATCAATTTTCTTACCCAAATCGTTCCGTCTCGAATGAATGGTGTGTCGACGACAGTGCTTGGCTTTTGAATTTTTCAAAAATTCAGTGTTTGGTTTACGCTTTCTGTTCACATTTGTATCGCTGGAACTGCTTCGATCGGTGTCTTGACCATTTTGTTCGTCATACCCATTCGTAGCAACCACGTTCATTGGTATGTCACCATTTTCCTTAACGTCCGCGTTTTCTTGACTTGTTGAACTTGGCGACAATTGATGAACATTCGCAACATTTGGCTCTTTGTCCAATTGTTGCCACAACAATTCTTGCAATTCAAGCATCGATTTTTGTACTTCATGCAATGAACTTTCCAGCAAAATTAGTGGATCATGCATTTTTTGCAAGGCCCTACAAAAATAGATTAATCCGTTAAAGTTGGATGTTACAGCAAAAGAACTTAGATTTGAATTCTTACATTGCAAACGATTTGAGAAAATCAGTCGAAATAATTTGGCTCATTCTTCTGTGAACGAACAAAAATGATTAAAATGGACACATTTATTTATTCAGGAAAATCAACAAAACAAAAATATTCAATTGACATTTAACATTCGCCTTAATTGTGTCAATCTTGCGCCATACAATAAACAAAAGAGAACCAAAGACAATCTGTGCGACTCAAAAATATTCATTATGTTTTCTTGAGAACTGAGAAACTTTTGTGTTTTAATGAGCCATAAGAATCTCTTTCCCTATACGAATTCTGAGTATCGATTCGATACGCTAGAAATATAAACAAAAAATGTGTCGCCGAATTTATGGTGTTTCAAGAGCACAAGTAAAATAAACAAAATCGGGTTTATGTGGTGTGCCCATTATGTATGGAACCGAACTTTATTCATTGTAACACGAGATGACGTAATTTGGGAATGAAATACTGCATCGAGTGGAGTTTGATGCCAAGAAAAGTCACAGATCATAATACAATATATGTTTTATAGCAGAAAAAACTTAGGCAGACTTTTTAATGGTCGATAGCATAGATTTTTTTGTTCAATTTCCAACTTGATAGACAAAAATTGAACAACTTTTGGCGGGAAAATTCACGAAATATTTTTACAGGCACAGTGACAGAGATTTTTTGATGCACAAAGTGATGACAATCAACACCTTTCTATTGTTTCTCTCTTTTTCTGTTTCCACTGTTTATTTCTAATCTTCCTACTCTTTCTATATAATGACTAATTGTTTTGATTAAACAAGGAAAGCACTAATTATAACACTATTTCCCCAGTAAAACACAAACTATTCACACTAATGTTATTTTCATGAACCTTTCGTGCTCACTTTTTTTTTCAACAACATTCCAAAAGTATGTTCTGAGCGTTTGCCTTCGATACAAAAAAAAATTGTACAAAATACAAATACTTACCCAATTTTTACGAGCACAATTTTAAACTGAACAAATTGTTTGTAATTGTCAAATATTTTGAAAAATTCAATCAATTTATCTATTAAAAATTCTCGGTTTTTAAATTATTTTGTAAATTTGAGGTTTTTACACGGAAAATAACGGAATGATGATCAAATAATGATGCTGAATGCTGTATAACAAACGACTGCTTCAACGAAACACTTTCGATGGAATGGCAAGAGAAAGGGTGACAACTTGCAGCATGCTATCACATACACATATACAATTTCGATAGAACACATGATGCTGTTTGCATAAGAAGGAATACGAACGTAAGAGTGTGGCGCGAGAATATTGACAAGTGAATTTTTCACACGCATACACTTAATTGATTGGAATCTACGATTTGAGAGATTTTTGGAAATGTGATGTATTGAACGAAATACACTGGAATATAATACAATGACATTCTTTTTGGAAGCAAATCAATTTGTAACGGAATAAAACTTCATATGGCATAAAAACGAATTCCAATTTCAGATTTAGATGAAAGAACTAGACTGTTCTAAAACTGATTGACAATATTACGAAATTTATGACAGATGAAGTTAGCTTTAATGTTAACCGAGCTATTTTCTACGACTGCACTGTCAAGCATGAAAAAAATGTGCCGTTTTTGACGATGAATCGTTTGTTCAAATAGATAATAAGAGTGTAAATAAAAAAAAAATTGTTTAATATTAATGATCGATTCCCTTCAATTTGGATGTTATTGTATATCGATTTATCATTTTGTTTAAGTCAACGTAAATTGGACACACAATTATAATTGAGTGAGTACATTCTTCATGCAACATTTCAAAGTTGGTTAATAATGAATGCTTTTATACTAATCAAGGAAAATTGATTTGTGAGAGCGAAATCGGTCGAGATGTTGTGGTACAAAGAAACAGATCACCCAGACGCATTGTACGTGGATGCGTTTGCTATGATGGCCGGTGACTGGTTGAAGGAAGTCTTTCCCCACTATAAGTATAATCGTTCATTTTGCGATTACTTTGTAGATTATATCCCAAGCAAGAATGAAGAAAAGTCAATAAAATTTCGTGAAGAGGGAAACGCGCTGTTCACACAATTGGATTGGTATGCGGCAATTTTTTCATTAATATGTTTCCGATTATTTTCCGATTACTTATCGATTATTTTAAATTTTATTCTTTTCTTTTGTGATTCTCCCCTTAGGTATGCGGCAATGGAAAAATACAACGAATCGCTATGCTATGCCCGTTATGATTCGAAAAACCTTGGTATGAATTACCACCAATTATTTAAAAAAAAAAAAGATTAAAAAACCAATTGTATTTTTATTTAGGACTTGCGTATGCCAATCGATCGGCGTGTTTTTATCAATTGGAAATGTACGAGGAATGTCTAGCCGATATTGAGATGGCCATAAAAAGTGGCTACCCAGAAAATTTTCATTGGAAATTGAAAAATCGAAAGATAGATTGCCAGAAAATGATGATAAAAGGCATCCAACGAGATGATTTTGGTACAAAGCTGAGTTTCGAATGCGATCCCATTTTCCCATGTATGGCAAATGTAATTCGGTTTGGTCGCGATGAAACGGGAACGTATGCGCTGTATGCAAATGAACACATTGACATCGGCAAAACGATTGTATTAGAAAAAGCTGTGTCAACTTATGTATGTGATCGTTTTGGTTTGCGATGTTTTGTATGTCTTAAAACACAGTGCAATTTACGTCCATGTCCAATGTGTACGGCGGCTATGTTTTGTTCCGACGAATGCTACGATTATTGGGGACATTTTTTTGAATGCCGTCACACATACTCGAAGGATAAAAAGTTGAACGGTACCGTTATGTTTCCCGATTATTTGTCGATTATTTTAAATTAATTCTTTTCTTTTGTGATTCTCCCCTTAGGTACCGTTATGTTTGAGGTTCGATTAATTATGCAAGTTGTCGCTATGTTTAAGAAGCCGTCTGAACTGATTGGATTCGTAGAGACAACTCTCAGAGAAGATCCAGAAGAGTTACCTGACCATTTAATGGACACCAAATCAATATATCGAGCATACCTTAAACAACCAATTCTTCCATCGTATCTTAATACACAAGAGTTCTTTATTTCGGCATTCGCCGCATTCAGTACGGTTTTAACATATGCACAATTCAAATCGTATCAAAAAGAAAAAAATCGACGATTTTTAATGCATTTAATCATGCACCATTGTTTAGTTTCACATCGGAATGCAGCTCGGAAAATAGTCAGTGGCGATAGTGAATTGTGCATGTCAACGTCACTCATGATGAAATATTTTAAACATTCATGTGCACCAAATGTATCGATGATTGACCTGAATGGGCATGCCGTTTTCTACACTCACCGACCAGTGAAAAGGGGTGAAAAATTGGAGATTTCAATTCTAAATATTTTAATGGAACCAACTTCAACACGACGACGCATGCTACTGGAAAATCCTGTCTATGGTGGCATCTGCAATTGTATTCGATGTCAAGGCTTAGGAAATAACATGCAAGATATTTTTGAAATAATAACGGATCGAAATTTCGGAGAATTATTTCAAGGTACAGTATTTCGTGATCGAAAACATTTAATGATGGTGATTGAGAGATGTGAAAGTTTTTTGACGAAAAACCAAAATCGCGCATTTTCTGAACCGATTGCACAACTCATCACATACTATACGGAACTTTGTAACATTCGAGCACTTGGACCAAAATTCTACATATAGAACTCAACTGAAGAAAATAAGACTGACAACCATTTCAAAATATAATGGGCGTACATAATTCAATTCAACAAATAATCATCGTGTGGAAATAATACCAATCTGACAATAATGCTGAAATCAACGTGTATCGAATAAATGTTTTTATATGCAATTTTTGTACTCTTGACACAAAAAATGTCACAATTTAAAGGAAATTAAAGGAAATATGTGCAAATAAAACTAAAATCCACAGTCTTTGAGTAATTGACAATTTTTCTGAAGACATCTTCCATATGAAGACAAGACTTACCTTTCCATTCTGAAAAATCCCTATCCCAAGTAAAACTCATAACAAATATTTATTTCAGTTGTCGCTTTATTGGCGTGTATTGTTTTTGTAATTTTCTTTCACAATTTGTCATTCAATTTGTCAACACATTTATTGCAGAAATTTAAAATTTAATGCATTTTTTCTTGTTTCGATTTGAGTTTTTCTTTAGAAAATAATTGAAGTAAATTTAATCTAGAAAATATTCGTTTCTTTTTCTCAAATTTGTTCGAATTTTTATTAATTAATAAAAAAAATTACATTCAAACAGATCACCGGCACACGGCAATCTTATTGATTTCATACAAATTCAAGGAATTCAAAGATTTTTTTTATTCGGGATACAATTTTCAAGTCATTTTTTTATATTTTCATTTCGGAAATATTTTTTTAGAATAAATTTCACCTCTTGATTTAAAAAAATTGCATTCATATCAATTTGAGGTAATATGGGAGAACACATATTCGTTTGTTAGCGCGAAAAAGTAACATTTTTTTTAGAATGTAGTTATCGATGTCATCTATCCCGTCGATCACGTCTTCCAACTCTACGATTAATAAGCGATTCTCTCCAAAAATATATCTTATTTGAATTCAATGAATTTGCTTGCAACAAATAGACGCTCGATCGCTCGATCTGTTGAATAAAAATTGTGATTTTTTCGTCATTTTCAAAACTAAATGTATATAATTATATTAAATATTGTATAATGAAATTAATGTATTATGATTTTCCTTCCGTATGGTTGTTTCTCCGCTTAAAATACATTTGTAAAATAGAGAGTGTACTAGATCGAACGGATCAAAAGGTTCGGCTTTCTCCGGGATAGGAAATATCAAATTGGACAAGGAACAAAATGGTCGAAATATAACAAATATAAATACTCTTTCATATTATTTTGTTTTCACACAGAAATTTGTTATTAAATTAATACAATAAAAAAAAAACAAATAGAAATTCATAAAAAAAAATAATTTCAAAACAAAAAAGTTTAAGGGATGGAATTATGAAAATGTCACATCAAAATGGTCATTAGTTGAAGGAGAGTTATAGATGAGTAGCGAGCGTGTGTGTGTGTGTAATCCAGTAAAAATATAGGTATATATTTTTTATCATATATATAACGTTTAATTCAAATACACATTAAGCTAATTACTTGTTTGTTTAATCATTTTAGTTGTTACGGTGTTTGTATGGGTGTTTGTGTGTGTGTGGGTAAAATGATGAGTTGATATTTTATTGCAATTACGACTGAAATATACTTCGACTTCAGTTTGTGTGGGCGTTTTCATTTATGATTTATCACTTAAAACATCTCATTTTTGGCTGAACGGCGATTTTAGTGCGTCGGAGAGAAATGATCAAGATTCAATTTAAAAGTAATACGGACCAGTGCCATAGCATCCATAGGATCTTTGTCACTCTATGTTTACGATACCTGTCCAGCCCTACAAATTTCATGGAATCTTTCGGATTTTGAATTCTTTGGATTTTTTAAAATTCTTTTTCACTTCATAAATTTGCGTACGTTTAAAATTTGTCGGAATTTCGATTGATTTTCTGTGCACTTTAGACATTTTTTTTTGGTTTTGAATATTTGAAAAGAATTTTCTGAACATTTTGTCACACTTGGAATTTTTGCTTGAAATGTAAAAAAATTAAATTAAAAACACTTCTTTGTATGTATTCTATGATATTTCGTGTTTCATATTTTTTTAAAGAAATTTTTAACATTTTTCAAATAACACATGCTTGGAAATCGTAATTAATGAAATTCGATTAATTTTAGAAATAATTCGGTACATTCTTTCAAATTGTAAGTAAATTTTTATAAAATTTTTAGCAGATAAGGATTGCGAGATATTTTTCATTTAGAATCAAAGTCGATAATTCTAAAATGTACATACTGGTAATGTAAATCCCTCAAGCAAATCGAATTTTTTTCTTGATCGCCAGAGTTGTATAAGCACCACGGAGTTGCGAGCACTTTTCTTGTGGATGCTGCTATTTCTTCCATTCACTTGAAAAATGATATGGAATCAGTGCAAGCACTTACTAGTACCCTCACGTCACCGGTGCCCATAACAGTTCTGGCGATCTCTTTATGTATTCTAACCAATTTCAGTAGATGTGCGGAAAAGTAAAAAAATATCTCTTCTAACAAAAAAAAAAATATTCTCTAAATGGATCTACGAATTAAATGTACATGATTTGAAAAAAAAATCTAATCACATAATTGAATATCCTCTTAAAAAACTGTTTGATGAATACAAAATCTCTAGCAAAATAAAAAAAAATGCAATTCGATGTAAAAAGCATTTTTGGATCACAAATTAAATTTGTTTTAAAAAGAGGTGGCGAATGATGTCATGGTGTTTGATCGATTGGTAAAAAATGAAATCCGTAAAATAGATCAGCGCTCCGATGAAATGAAACGGGAGTATGAATGATTTGCCATTTTGATCGTTTGCTTGATACGATTATGATTTTTTTAAAAGTGAATTGTTCTTCTGCTTGATGAGTGTAAATAAGTGAGTTTTGTGTGAGAAATGTTGTTGGTGTAATGCTGATGGTGACCATATAACATACATTTTAAGATTACGAATTAGCCTAAAAACGTGCACTGGAGCTAAATATACAGTTATATCTTTTGTTTTTGTTTTTTTTTCCTTCTCTCCTCGCATTCACTCAATTATTATTATTATTATTTTTCCTTTTGTTTTGTTTAATCACTTCTTGCTACTCCTACATCTCTCATATTGTTTTCACTTCATTTTTTTTTGCTAAACAGAAATTCCACTTAAAATTACTCAGACTTCTAACTGTTTTGACGATTGTTGAATAATAAATGGTTCGCTCCACATTCGCCGTAAATCCCCCTGTGGACAAAGAAATAGAACAACAAATTAGTTTCATTCAAAAATTGCTTGAATAATTTGTAATTATTCCCACCTTTAAATAAGCCATCGTTAGCAATGGTAATAGTGTAAACGGCACCAGGTACAATAATGCTGGTTGAGCGGCTTTAAATACTTCACTACTAACAGTTGCTGTTAGTAAGCCAAGAAAATATCTGCAAAGAAATGAAAACAACATTTTAGTAAACTCTTTAAACATTCTCTTGCTAATTTAGTGACTATTTTGGGCTCTGTAAGTCTCGAATTTTGGTTTTTTATTCGCATTGCATTGAAAATGATCGAAAATAAGTTTCCTGTGGTACGTGGTCTCCACAAAAATGGTCATAATTCAAAAAATGCCCATAATTTGTGTCAAAATACTAAGAAATAGCATTTTCTCACATTTTTATCGAAAGAATTGTTTTGTATAAAACTTACCCTAATAGTGAACAATGAAAATAGGTCAACTTTGAGCCGACCCCTTTGGGCACTGGTACGCCGACATCGGCCAGTGTGCCTTGTGATTTTTTGTATGCATCATATCGCAGTACGAAGCACAACAGTAAACCAGGCATTACAATATCACCCAAGCCCAGCATCGAAAAATGTCCACTGTTGTGTATGCTTGGAAACACCAGTTTTCCTATTAAATTACAAAGTCATTAGCCGTTTTTCTTACATATATCAAAAAATGTTAATCATTTTAAAAGAAAGGAACCTGGTAAATTTAATTTTGGTGTATCCTTGACATAAGCGCCTAAATTCAGCTTGCGTGCCACTATACCGACTGGATTTTCTGCGGGCCGTGTTGCTACTTTTACCATAACTGTAAAAAACAATTTATTCGATTAGATTTCATTGAAAAAGGTGAAGTTTTTAAACGAAATTGTTTACCATTTGTGCTAAAGATGTACGATGAGAAAAATACCCAAAACACATCATATAGCAGTAGTCCAGTCAGCAGTAGTGTCGATACTTTTAGGCTTGGTAAACGAACGAATGCAATGAATGCAACGCATAATCCCATTCCCATGGCTATAAAAAAGAGACACACAAAAAATCGATTAGTGATTTGTGGAAAACGTGATCCAACCGAAAAAATTGAATTTTGAGATAAAAAGAAACTTTGGTTTGCGATAGAGTGAAAATTAAATGGCAACGATAGGTATCAAAGGTAGATTTGATGAAAGGAGATTACTATGTATAGATGATACGGATTAATACATACCGTCCATGAGTAGCCAATGTCCGGTCAGTACCCAAATGCATACTATTGATACAGCCAATGAAAAGCTAAATAGTTCGGCAGCTGTAAATCGTCCACAAAATCCAAATGATATTCGATTACCATCGGAACATGGCCGTATGATATACTGACACATGGGAAGGAGTAAGAATGCTAGAGCTACGGTTGCAATGATTGCTGTGCAAACGGCAAATAACATTTGCATCGAATCAAAAAAGAAAAACATCACCAACAACGATACAGACGCACCAAGTGGAAGACAAAGAGCATGCATTGTGTCCAATGTGGCAAATTTATCTGTGAAACAACAACAACAACAAAAGTTATTCGGTTTATTCAATGTGTGCATTGCACTATTTGTGTTACATACTTTGTTCCTGCGGCACTGGTTCACCGGTTAGTAAATTATTTGTGCTGTCGTTTTGTCGCTTCTTTTCGCGTTCACGTTGCTCTTGTTCCATGTTTAAACTACGAAAACTGCCATAGACAATGAGTAGCATCGATATGAGACAGGTCGATACACGCGACGAATCCATTACGCTATAGGCCCACTGATATTCACGAAATTCGGTCGTTGTACCAGCACCACCAGCACCGTGCGACATTTCGTCGTCACGCACTCAGCGATAAACGACGGTTTTGCTTTGAGTATTTCGCCTCTCTCTCTCTCACTCTCCGTCAAATCTCCTTCTCGCACTCTTGCTAGGTGTTTGTTTATTTTGCTCTCTTATGTTTTTGTCTTGGGCTTTGTTAACTCATCCAAACTGTTGAATTCACAACTTATGGAGCCTGAAATAAATTCAATAAAAAAATTCAATTTTAAATAAACAGAAACGTGTTAATGAATACCGTCTAAATGAACGAATTGTTATAAATAAAGTGACAGTTTCAGATATTTAGTAAGTGCATTGCTTATTGCTCCATTTATCTTATCACAATCGGCTCAATTATGAAATACAGAAAAAAAAACGAAATAGAAATCAACACGAATATGTTCGGTAAATAATTGCACTTTATATAGTCATTTTCAAGTAGCGCTATGCTTGAAGTGCTATCTGACCCATTGCTGATAGATAATATAGAATATATTCACGAATGGTCTTATGTAACAACTGGCACCAGTCTTCTATGATCTTTTTTTTCGTATAGATAGTACTCCGTGAACAGAAATGGTGTGGACTTGTGTGGTGAATATCCAGCAGCAACTGAACAGTTAGCTTCTGGATTGGAATTTTCAGTTGCAAGTTTGCTTTTAAAAAGCACTTTATTTGAAATGTACGATTTATTCGCTTAAAATCACGTCATATTTTCAGTTAGTTTGAAGCGATTAATCGATTTATACTTCTTGCACACAACCATGTATTACTCATTTGAAATGACTTTCAATCAAATCCAGCACCAGCTCTAATTTTAAATTAATGTGTCAATATATGTTTGACCATGTATTAATTCCGTGCATTTTATGACTTTAAATGAGCACATTTTCTATTGCTCTCACTCTATCTCTCTTTCTATCTCGCTCTCTCTTTCTCTTTCCTCCTCTCCTTCCTTCTCCCATTGTCCTCCTTTCTCTGTCCTCTCTTCACTTTAAACAAAACTGCTCGGCATGGCGTGCAACTAAGAAGAACACCGATATCCACAAAAAGCGACATTCGAATGACACCAAAATCGTGTCTTCGTTCCAAGTGATTAAATTTTATTGTGCAATAACAATTATCACGATTTATCACGCTGACAAAACAATGGCAGTTATTAGTCGTTCTAGCAAAACGAAACAAAATAATATTGAACAACAAGAATTTTTGCGCATTCAATCGACATAAATTGATTTTAAATACGGCAAATTCTTGTTCACGCCATAATTAATGTGGCTAAACATTATTTAATCACATACTGTGTTAACGGAATCCACTAAAAATAGCCGCTTCACGAACAAAATCACTGTTTAAATACTGAAAAATAACAATTATGTTCGTCTGTCTATTTTTATAGGAAACTCTTTTTTTTGACACCGTTTTGAAATCAAGCGAAGCCAATGACCGATAGATTTGGTTATTCCTTTTCTTCCGGGAATGTATGAACTTATGTGTTTTTCTTTCTTTTCTCCGCCGATATACGAGAACGGCTTTTTTTTCTTCTATACCCCGGTTGCATTGAATGGGCTTCGAAGCAATGTGTTCATGTAAATATTGAGTGTGTCAGTTGGATATTACAACATAGGTGTTGCAACTCTGTAAAATATTTATGGATTTATTTGACCATTTGAAATGACTTGAGAAAATTTTATTTTTCAGAATCGAAAAAACAAACAACAACAACACGCAACATTGTATCCATATGCAATTTTATAACACCCATTTTTGGAACGGAACATATTGTATTACGGTTTTTTTTTGTTTCGTCGGAGTGGTTTTTTATGACCGCAACAAAGATTTGGCCGATGAAGAAGCGAGAGAGAGGAAGATATTTCTTTTTGCACGCATGAATGCACGAATTTTGATTACAAAAACAGAGCACGGAGATAGACGGAATGATTTAGAGGAAGAAACAGAGAAGGAGGGAGAAGGTAAGAGAGAAATAGACAGAGAGGGAAGGTGTGGTTGAGAAAGAGATATATAAAAGACGAATTACATGAAAAGACGCTCCAAGATATTGTGGCACTCGATTTCAATGCATGAATTAAACACTGAATTGAACCAGTTCTCTACTGTTGAAATGTGAATAGTTTGAGAAACAACAATTTCTATCGAATTTGAATGTTCAACACTTCAAATTGAGTTCAACAATGTTTCAATCTGTTTGGAATTTTAACTACTTTGTTTTCTAATTCTAAATTTTGGTGCAAATTTTCCAAAATCCAATTGAAAATCCGAAGAAAAAAAATCTAACTCAAACTGTGCGGTTCGACATTGATCGGTGTTCAATGAAAAAAACAGTTGTTGATCTAAATTCAAATCGGCACGCACAAAACTAAATTCATTGTCGTGAAAATCTATGAAATCAACAGCGTTGATTGAACACCAATGCCAAGTTAAGCATCAGTTACCCATAATCAGTAAATCTGTATCTCTGTCATACATTAAGTCAGATAATCTGCTATCTGTTTCCCAGAGTGAGAGAGAAAGAGAGAAAAACGGATAATAATAATAAATGAGTTTTTGTTTTTTTCCTAAAAAGGTTGCCTGTTTTAAAACGTTCGATGCCTCTGATTAAACATGTAATGAATAGAGGCGCTTGCAAAACTCATGGCTCATAAAAAACGCTGCTTGTGATCGATGCTGCACGCAACTTTAAAATAAACACACAAATTTTTGTTTTTTTGATTTCGGTACAAAGTAATATGTAAAATTTCCCCATTTGCAATGTCGTGATCGAATGCTTTTTTGAGCAAAACAAAACAACACACACCGATTCAATTAATTTCTTTTCTGCCGCCTTTTCAATTTATATTTGCATGGCGAATTGTATGACGGTTTTTTTGAAATACACGGTCCGTAAATAATAAATGAAATGAATAAATATAGAGAGACTAAGTCGTTGAAATGCAATAATGACAACAACGACGACAAAAACAACGAACAATGACAATATGCGGTGAGAAAAAGCCAAGTAAAGCATAATTGACTTGTACTGGTTTCGTGTCAAAATCCGTCCCTACCCTCTGGCCGAATCGATTATAATCGAGTTTCCTGCGCTCACCATCTCCCTTTCTATCTCTCCTTCTCTCTCTAACTTTCCCTCTTTCTCTGTCTCTCTCTCTCTTTCTTTTCGCAATTTGATTAGATTTTACCGTGTTGCGACCATTAACGCAGTCTCGCATTTTACGTGTGCAAGACGAAATGTTATAATATAAAATAAATCGAGTCGCCGATACTTTGTCAGCTAAATCGACAGATCCACTAAAATATGCCGGAGTTAAATCACCACGATTTCGATCTCACACTGTTTACATCGATCTATGTTGTTGGCAATCGCTTTTTATTCGAATCAAACTCAGTCCAAGCGTCTCAATATCTCCACTTCACTCAATCTCACTTGGGCCCGCCAATCTTTTTCTCAATCTTCGGTCGTTTCACTCTCACTTAACCCGCAGCCGGCTGCAGTCGATTTTTTGTTTTAGCTCGATGCGTAGCAGAATTTAATTAAAATGTTGCGGGGAGGAGGAGGTTGAAATTGCAAAGCAAAGTGCGAGCACAGCATGAGTTTATTACACAAATTCAATGTAGCTCACACTCAATAATAAATTCCCTTTCGCTGCTAGAGAAAAAAAAAACTAATAATAATCTGACTTTTATCTCCACACACGCTCTGTCTCTCGCATGCACAAAATCGAGAAAATGCATCGGCTGTCGTTGGTGATATTTTCGACTGGATTTATTTTGATTATTTATTTTTCGGGGCCATGAGAAATAGACGAGAAAATGCCGAGAGAAGAAAAAGAAAAGCAACGGTACACACGCACACAGTACACAGTTGGAGCATTCAGAGCAACAGTAGCAGCAAAAACAACAGCATCATATGATTTCTTTTTTTATGTGTTTGGTTCTGTTATGGAACCTAAATTTAAAGAAAATATACTCACCGACAACAACAATGACGCAAAAAAAAACAACAACAACACAAACAACAAGGTGTACAAAGGCAAGAGGCACGAATTGTTCGCGTAAAATATGAGAAAGCCAAGCGAGTAAAAAAAAAACAACTTATTGCTGAACAAAATACAATCGACTCAACACACAAACAATGTACACACACACTCGGTGTTTTAATATATATATTTTTTTCGGTGAATATTGCTAGAAGAAGCCGTGTGTATCAGCCAACCAGAACCACATTAGTTTTACTTTATTTCAACAGAAGAGCAACAAAAAAAATAACAACAACAACACACATCCAACACAGAGAGCGCACTGTATCTATCTCTATCTCTGTCTTGTCTTGTATTTAAACACAATTGGTACGTTTTCGTTTCTTATTATTTTCATCCATTGTTTAGCATTTACTTCTTTTGCTCTATGAATGTTTCAATTTATTTCTGATTTTTTTTCATCATTTTTTGTTCTCTCTATCTCTCACTTTCTTGCACCGTTTTACATATTATTTTTCTTCGTTCAAATTTTATGATTGCATTTTTGCCACTCGGTTGATGAATTCTTGGCTCATTTTTCTTTTTCTTTTTCTAAATAAATATTCACTTTGAATGACTCGATAGTGCACTTGTGTGTTGTGAAATTTGTGTGTGATTTCGTTCTCGCTCTCTTTTTTCGTTCACTTCACTTGCATCGATTTTTGACTGACACTCTCTCCCTCTTGCAAACACTCTGGAAGAAGTACAACCACAACGTTTGTGTGTCTTTTTTTTCCTCTCTTCAGCTCGATTTTTATATTATGATTTTATGTTGTCACCTCCATTTAATTTTTTATGGAATTTTTATTCAACTTAAATACATCATTCACTGTGTATTGCACGGAAAATAATCGAAATTCGATTGGAACTATAACTTTTTTTTTTATTCCATTGGCTCAAGTGTAGAGCATTTGTATATGTTTGACTGCTAGCTGCATTTGTTATGTAGCTTTCAATGTACACACTCACTTAAGCCAGTGTTCTCATCGATTTCATATTTTTCGACGTCGACGACGAGAGCGCCATATTTCGCACTAATTCGAACGTTTCGTTCGCATTCAACATACCCAACTCCACTTTACATTCGATGGCCTTCTATGTGTGTGCGCTCTGTTTGTACACTGCTGCTTCACAAACTATTAATGACAATCACACACACACATGTACACACGTTCATAGCATCGAACGCAAGCGACTAGTAACGTAGTTGTATGTTTGTTGCGTTGTGTATCTCGCAATCTCGATGTGCATTGGGTCGTCCCATCGGTCGCAATGCTATTGACTGATATGTCAATGTTTCACAACGCGCACAACGTACAAAACAATCTATAGATATTATATGCAAATATACAACGTTTTTTTGATACGGGTTATCGTTGATTTGACTTTTGTCACTTTTTGAAGGATTTTTTGTTTTATTTTCTGTTCAATCAAACTCGAGGAAATTTCATTGAACTCGGTACATATATGCAATTGGTTACCAACGCCTTAGTTTTGCACCACATTTCGATCTCAACTTCGCTTTTATTCAACAACATTTAACTACTTTTGCTTGGAATGTTTTCGTTGCGGTGAGTTTTTTTTTTTTTGAGATCGAGTCCGTTAAATTCTGGCATATACATTAGTCCCACTCATATACAATACACTTATTGTACACAATTTTTTTTTATTTCTATGGATCTGATCGGTGAATGAAAATTACGTAAATTTGTTATACATACACAATTGTCGAACGAACATAAATACACAAACATACACGTACAACTAATAAGAATTTTACAAACACGATGCGTTCGAGTGTGTATGCGTTTTGCAATGCATAAATGTCATATTTCAAAACACTACGATTCAATTGCATGGTTTTTTTGCAATCAGAAGTCATTTTTTAGGCGTTTAGTGTGTTTAAGAATTTTGACGAAGAAATGAGCCGATTTTTTCATAATCTCAAATAAAAGTATTTTTTCCGTTCGCGATAAAGAGAGAAAGAGATGATGTTTTGATGAGAACGAAATTGTCCGACGATTATTTGCGTCAATGATAAGAATTGCTGGTGTCTTGCACCAAATTAACATACTTTCTTCAACCAAATTGTAGTAAAATTCTGCTTTCTCTTCCTGTCGAAGTGAAAAATCGGGAACAAAAACGTATACTCACCTTTTGAACCAACAAGGACAATATGAAAGACATGCTCTCCCTTAAAAAATCATTCACCCAATTTGGTTTTCTCTGAAAAGTCTAAAAAAATACTCTAATCTGCATCGATTTCATGCGGAGAGAGAGTTTTAAATAGTAAAAACATTTGATAATTGTTGTTTGGACGAGAAGTTTTACCGAGAAAATGGGTACTTTTTGATGATTTTTTTGAAATTTCGCTATTTTGAAGAGAAAATCGGGTTTTTTTTTAAGAAAATATCTAATTCGGCTCATTCTGCACAAGATAAATATTTTTTTTACCAGAATTGTAGAAAAATCTCAGAATTAGAAAGAAATGTTGCGAAAAAGAATATACTATAGAAGAATGTGATTTTTTTAGGGAAAATCGAAATTTTTCGAAGCAAAATCGGGAATTTGGTCGATATCTGGCTATAAATTTGAAGAATTTACATTTTTTCAGATGAATGGAAGTGTTTTTTTAGCGATTTCCAAAGAAATATTTACAAAAAACCAACAAAGCAACCCGTTAACAAAACGAAAACTTTCCGTAAAATCTCGTTTGAGTCAAATAGGCGCCTTGTATGTTTTTGTTTTGCAAACAGTAGAGTATGCACCTGTTCACAATATTTAGTAAATAAAAGTGTTTCGCGTAGTTTGGCCACATGGAAAAAGTGGTATGGTTCAAGGCGCCACCGTTGTCGAACTGTCAAAATGAAAGTTAATGCGTTCGCGCGTAGTTATTGTGACACAAATACTCTCGCACATCGTATACATATAGAGAGCGACGCAAGCATTAATACACAAACGCACACACACACAGCCATCGAAGTCATAATGTATTGTATTAAATGTGATTCCATCTCTACCGTCGTCGTCCATATAGATCGTATAACATTTAGTTGTAATTACTTACTCTCTATATGTGCGCGTATTTGTTATATTATCTTCACATATTTTTTCTTCTCTCTAAATTCGTGACTGAAATTTTGTGCAGTGCAAATGTGAATTGGAGAAATAAAAACCAAAGTTTGTGTGTTTATCTATTGGAAAACTTGGTATTCTGATTATTCGAATCACACCCGACATAAAAACGACAAACAAAGCAAACATCAGAGAATAATCGTTTGTTATCTTTCGAGTGTGTGAAATTGTTTTGCAATTTGCTGATTGGATTTTAAACGTGCGATGGCCTTTACAAATTCAGTTGAAAACGCATTAATTATTGATTGATTTGACGTCATCATTCATTGTCGCATATTTTGATTCACTTATATAAAGTGCGTTTTAGTGCAGTCAAACCAGTTCACAAGTCAAACAGCAAAAACAACGAAAATCGAAGCAGCAGCAAAAAAAAGTGACTGGCAACAAGAGTAATTGCCAGTGTTGTCGCGACTTAGGATTCAATTACAACAATCATCTATGGAAATACATTGGTCGCAACCGATTTGACGTCCAAATTTAGAGTGAGTATAGGTATATTTTTGGATTTCGGTTGCTGCCGAAGCGATCATCATGTTCATTGAAATTCAACGCGCAACCCAATATCCCAAAACCACAACAATTTCAATTAGTCGATTTGCGCAATTTTTTCAATTGCACATTCGTCGCCTTCGCCGTCATCGTCGTTCTCAATTTGCATTTAGTTTTGGTTTGTGCGCGCGAGCGCTTGTTGATCTGACGAATTGTTTTAAATCGGGTCGACTCATAGAACTTCTTATTTTCGCTGTCAACACTCTGCTCTATTCATATTTCATATGTCGTCATTGTTTATTGTGTACTTGATAAGATTTTAGCCCGAATAAAAAACTAACATGGAATGTCGACGATGAATGTATATATGACGACGAAAAAAAAACAGCATAAAACAATAAATTTGATTGAATGGGCGCGCGCTCTTTCCACCCACCGCCAATATCTATATTCAACAGCATTTCATGTGTTCTATTTACAGTAAACAGAGATACACGGAATGAATGAAGATACCAATGAATAAGTGACAGAGAGAAACAGCGTAAGCTCGATGTATCGTTTTATCAACGTCATGTTTAGATTCACATATTAGTGAAATGTTCCGCCTTTACTTTTTCAAATAATAATAGCTGTAACCCGTATTTAAGTCAATACGTTCTAGTCGCCCCCATTTGAAGCGTGCACGATTACGTTTGTTTCAGATTATTCTACCTCTCTTTCTCACTCATCCGATTATTCACTTTGTATCTCTCGAATGTGCGTGATTTATTCAATCGATCACCAAAAAATCAAACGATTTGTTTACATTTAGATGGATTTTTTATGAGCGTGCATGGTCAGCATTAAATCTCAATATTGTGATTTCGTCAATTTAGCGTTTTATTTCCTCGAATTTGTCATGCATTTACTTTAATGTTTGTATATATGTTTATTTTAATTACAGAACGATGGCGACAGCCACATCAGAAACAAAACCCACCGAACCAGTAAATCAAATACAAAAAACCGCAGATAACATTTCGTTATGTTCGTCAGTGAGTGCGATATCTAGTTGTCCGGATCGTCATGGATTCTATGGTGGTTTTCAATTTAATGATAAACCAAAAGAGGTTTTATCACCGGCACAAATTGTCGCACGCGAAAAGAAATGGTTGCACATGATACAAAATTGGAAAGATTATATGGCGAAAAATTATAAAAAAGTTCGAGAACGATGTCGCAAAGGTACACATATTTATTTGGAAATGCTTCGAAAAGCAATTATTATTTAAAGCAAATTTTGGTTCTTTCTCAATTTTTTTCTTGATTTTTTTGGTTTTTTGTTAATTTTTTCATCTAAAAAAAACGAATGCTGAAATATTTTTTGAAAATCTTTTTTTTAACGAATGTTTTTCCGAAAATTCGAGAATTTTTGCGAGAAGATTTCCCGAATTTTCCATTTTTTGAAAAAAAAAAAAAAATCGGGAAATGTTCCGGCATTCGTAATTTTTTTCCCTCATATTTTCATATTATTTTTTTTAAATTAACAAAAAGCACGATTTAGTCGATTTAGGCGAAAAAAAATCAAAAAAAAAAAATCCTGAAAAAAATTGGATCGAAACTGAATGAAGTGAAAGGAGATTAGAATGAACAATTTCACTAAATCTGGTACTTATTTTGCAGGCATTCCCCAATCAGTAAGGCCGCGAGCATGGTTTTATCTATCTGGCGCTTATTTATTACACGAAAAAAATCCCGATCTATACGAACAATTGCTAAAAGAGCCGGGCAATGAGCACATCATGGATGACATCAAGAAAGACCAACACAGAACATTCCCCAACCATGAAATGTTTGTCGATGAAGAAAAACCGGGCCAAAAAGAGCTGTTCAATGTTCTTAAAGCATATTCTGTGCTCAATCCAAAAGTTGGCTACTGTCAAGCACAAGCACCTATCGCTGCTTTTCTTCTAATGCACATGCCTGCCGAACAGGCGTTCTGGTGTTTTGTCAGCGTTTGTGATAAGTGAGTATATATATATTCTTATCGCACGGATCGGTTCGTGTCCACTTTGGAATTTTTGAGATAAGAATTTTTCGAGAAAAAAAAGTTTAATCAAAACAGATCGTTTTTTTCTTCAATTTTTTTTTTAAAGTAGTAGTACTGTAGTATGTACCGAGTATCTTAGTAATCCGTTCTGTGTTTATTGCTTTAGGTATTTAGCTGACTATTTCACGCCTGGAATGGAAATGCTTCGACGAGATGCGAACATGTTGCATGCTTTACTGAAGAAGACGTCACCGGCTGTGCATCGTCACTTGGAGAAGCACAACGTTGAACCGTTCCTATATGTAAATCTCTTTACTTTTCTCCGCCAAGAGTTCTTGTATTCGAATTCTAAAATCCATTCTAATTATTTCCAGATGACCGATTGGTTTCTTTGCGCCATGACTCGAACGTTGCCATGGGATACATTGCTACGAATTTGGGATTGTTTTTTGTGCGAGGGCATAAAAGTTGTGTTCAAAGTGGCTCTGGTAATACTTGGAGCATGTTTGGGATCGGCAAAGGTGCGAAAATCCTGTAATGGAATGTGTGAAACGATAGCCGCGCTACGTTCACCACCAGCCAAGTACCTCACCGAAGATTTCATTATGCACCATATAATGCGACTCAATCTAACCGTTGAAGATTTTAAAATCGAACACGAACGACAAGCCACACTACATCGTAAAACGAAGAGCATGTAAAAAAGAAAATGACCTATTCTTTTGTACCACAAAAAACACACACACAATTTATTTATTCGATTTATATATATAGTATGTAGAACGACCTAAGTCACTGAATAAGCTGTTCAGTTGCTAAATATCGCGAATTATGATTGAGATTTGAACATTGAAATCCGAAACAGGTTTCGATAGGAAACTTCATGTGCAGAAGTTTCATTTAGAATTCGGATTGAAAAAACGATTTTTTGTTTGTTTCTTATCTGGCTATGATTTATAATATCAGTATTAATTTACTAACTCTATTCAAATAAGAGAATATTTAGCACAATTGATTTTTTTCCCATTTGATTCATTCCAATAATGATGTCAATTTTCAAATTCCAACACTTTTGTACGACGATTTAAATGTTGCACAAAATCCGTCCCGTTTTAAACCTTTTCTCTAACTTTCCACAGTAAAGTCCAGTAGATTAAGCTAAAGAAGAATAAAATACAAGAAAAATCAGCAACTGACATCGATGGCCTTAATTCGAACAATATATTTGATGAAATAGTTAAATCGGAGCACAACATTTTTTTAACCGGCGGAAATATGTGCAATTTGAATATTGTAGTCAATTTTTTAATCGAATTATTTTGTTTTCGAGGAGATTTTGCGCTTATCGCTAGAAAACTTGCAGAAAATGGTTGAAATTATTGAAGGATCAATTTTGAAATTGTGGAGTACGATTCGGATCGAGAAATTTAATGAAAAACAAATTAAATAAATTTAAAAAGGAAAAAAAATCGGAAATGATTTATGGTTTTTAATTTCCAAAATTTCAATTGGTTCAATTCGTGTTTTTTGTCTACATCAAAATCTGGAAATATTGACAAGATTTTTTTCCAATTATGTTACCCGTATTGTATTTGAATAGGCCCGAATTTGTGCATTATTTTCGAAAATAGTTTCTGAAATTAAAAAAAATAAGGTTTCTGAATAAATTCAACATTTTTGAAATCAATTTTTTGAGAACAAGCCCGTGAACTCCTGAAAATCGAATACAAGCAAAAATGTATTAACTGTAAAGCATATCAATCTAACATAGTCCAATTTATATACAGTTTTGATACGAATTCTGTAGAAAGTAAGTGACATTTGAACGAACAATAACAGCCATAGTTTGATACTGGCAGAATGGAATTTACCATATGAGTTTTTTGTCGGTCTAACAAATCGATGCAATACAAAAGGCCGGTTATCAAATAACTCTAGAAGTATAAGACATTTAGCGAATTTTTTGTTTGTTTTATTCATGCTTTCGGGCACTTATTTAAGCTAATAAAAAATTATGAACAAAATTCATTCGGTTTACATGAAACACTCTAGCGAATAAGTTAGTCATACTTGTAAATGTCTACACAGTTACTCAACACAATTCATGGTTTTGTATCATTTTTTTGCAAGCTAATAAAATAATCGAAATTATACTAATTTGCAATTTTTTTTTTTAGAATAAAAATTGAAATCGAAGGAGTTTTTTGTTCATTCAAAATTTCTTTCAGAACAAATTATGAGAGTGATATTGAAGCTGGATGGGTAAACAGGATTTGTTTTCGCAGGATTAATATTTTACCTTCATAGGAAAATCTCTTTTTCAGAAGTTTGGAAAACTTTTGAACATTTAATTCCTTTTTTTTTCAAAAATGTAGCAGTTACAAAAGTACAATTTATGGTTGTAGCATTGATTGTTTCTAATTCAAGAACGACAGAATCGATATTTGGATAAAAATTATTTTATTATCGATTGGATATTTCATTCGTTTTTTTATTAAGCACAGCTTTGTATAAAACTTGAATTTAGTGGTTAGAATCATTTCCACTGGATGCAATATTTCAACCAAATAACATAATCTCTGGCAATAAATCAGTTTGAGTATTAAGCAATCGATTAGACAAAACTAGAAACGTATTTAAATACATTACATGTTTACATTTGTAAGTTCTCTATCAATTTATCGAAATGGATAATGAAGATTTTATTAAATAATATGTTGGCTTATCAAAAAATCGAAATGGATAGCACCTTCATGTAATCAGGTACTTAATTTTGCCATCATGTAATCTATAATTATAGCTACTAATTATTATTATCAATTCAGATTAAATATGATGCTGACATCGATCGAAAGAAATTCCACCCGACGATTATGGAGAGTGGCTGGCTAAATCAACTTAAGTGGTGGTGCTGGCCAAGCCAAAAGAAGTGCTAAAAACAGGATTCAGACAAAATTAGTGGTGTGCCTGATCCAACATCGGGACAAGTTTCAAATACAGCAAATGAATTGAAGAATCAAGCTGGTCAAGCATCGATCGCAACTGGAAGCGGTAGCCTTCGCGGTAGCCAAGCTTCAAGTAGCACAGGAAAGATGATTCAAATTGTTTCTGGTGTCCCCAAAGCTACAGAACAACCTGGTTGCTATTCGTATCAAGCTCACCTGCCATCAAGCTTTAATGCCGGTTCGCAAGCTGTTGCATCGGCATCTGCCGGAAGCTGATCTGAATTCAGAGTCTAATCATTTTAATGTTTTAATTTACTCATGCTTTCATTCAATAAAACACGTTTGAATAATACAACTTTTTTATCACTTTATTTTAATTTTTCTTTCGATTTTTATAATTGCAGTTAATAAACTCGATTGCGACATTCACACGAAAGAGATTGCCAAACATCTAAAAAAACACAAAAAATTAACTTTCTTTATTCAGTGATAGAATTTGTTTTTGATGAAAATACAGTAAATATTTCAATTATTTGATTCAGAATATAAAAGAAATTGAATTTGGAAATGAAAATGGCACCATTTTGTTTATAATTCAAGATAATAATAAAGTAAAGGAAATAAAGAATAATAAAAGGAAAGAATATACTTAATTGTAGGGTGCTAGGCATTTCTTTTCTTGATTCATTCTAATAATTTCAAAGTTTATTTAAAAACAATTTAAACGAGCACAATAACCATATACAATTTTCAACCATTTACGATTAGCGTCTAAACGACCTTTTGAAACTTTACATTCTTTACATTTTATTTGAACATTCACACGACCTTTAATCAAAGCCAAAATCCATTCGAAATCATTCTTTTCGATAAGCATATCCACTGAAAATGTTAACTTTTTCAAACTATTTCCAAGTGCAACAATTTCGCTTAGAGTGTTCTCAGTTAATTTTGTCCCAGAACTGTACCTAACTCGAATTTCTTCGAGATTCGGTAAATTTTTAACAAGGTGGATCAATTTATTCTCCTCTAAAAGAATATCAATACATAACTTTTTCAAAAATTGAAATTTTGTTATACTTGTTACTTCATCTATGGGATATCTACAAATTAGTAGTTCTTCAAGTTGAACATTATTTTCAGCTAAAGAATCTAAACACCTATTGAGAATAGTTACTTCCTTACAGTAATAAGTTAAAAAATGTAAACGTTTCAAATTGTGGAATCGACTCAAATTCAATAGATTTTCATAATTCCTTTGATTAAATACACAGCCTTCAAATGTAAAACTAACGAGGTTTGGCACAAGACTTACAATAATTTCGAGATTGGGTAGATGGACTAAATGAGTGGCAGTAATTTTGAATGATTGCAGCTGTGGATTTAATCTTACAAAATCAATAGAATAATCATGGTTGATGTCTAAAGTGACATTGGCTTCTTCTAACTTCGGAAAATGTTGAATGATTTCCGTTGGATTGCAATTTATTCTTTGTAAATCCAAGCATTTTAATTGTGAATGCAAATTAAAATTAGAGATAGTACAATCAGCCATGGTCAATTTTTCAAGAGCATCAAATGGTGAACGTGTGTTAAAATCTAAAGTCTCACTGGTATTACTAATCTTCAATTCAATTAACGTTTTGCCACACAAATCCGAAATCAAATTTAAAGTATCATTTTCATTGCCATGTTCAGGCTTGAAGTCGATTGATTTCACTGATGGTCCAAAATGTTTTAAAAATTTCTTTGCGCGTGTTAGATCTAACGTAATCGGATCAGTTACATTACAAATTCGTAACATTTCCAATTTAGATGGAAAGGCCGTTTTTGCACTTTGTTGAAACCAAAGACATGTTTCAGCCACATTCAGATAGTCACGAGGATGCGTAATTTTTTGCAAGATGGCTCGAATGCAATCGTCATTAAGTGCATTCAATATGTGACTTGGAGAGTCATTTGCGGCTGGTATGTTCAAGTCATACAACACACGGTTTAGACCAAATTTCTTCATTAGACCAATAATTTCCGGCAGATGTATAGTGCGAATATTCACTTGTTTCAAATAGAACAACATCAGAAAATCCTTAAATGCTTCAGGAGATGTTGATGCCAATTTGACGTCGCCCTTTACTGCCGCCTCTCCATAAAACATATCATCGAATGCACTGCTTGCATTTGATAAAATGCATTTATGTGCTGGTATACGCTTTTTCTCCTCTCCGCACACAAAATACACATCGGCTGACCTCTCATTTAGGTACAAATTTCCGATTGTTGTTGCCGGTAATTTATTCTCTTCAATTAATTTCCCGGTGTTGATGGTTTCGCTTTCCAATCGTTGACGTTTTGCTGGACGTTCTTCGGATAATGCCATTTTTAACGAGCACAAGAATTGATTGAGTTGAATTCACCAAAAAATTCAAATAATTTTAACAAAATAATAGTTTTTCACTGCGTTTGTCTATGTTTCACACTCAAATGCACACGAGAGACTGATCCTTTTCAAATGCATCTAAAGACCACTGACGCTCACACAGATGACTAATTACACGTTTGTCGTGTCATTGTGTTTGTCGTGTCAAGTGGAGTCGCATATCAGTTTAACAACGACAATACTATGTGCGAACTGTCATTTTCTTGTGCATAATGGTATCGTCCAGTTTTTCCGCATTCTAAAACTTTACATTATCTACCAAAGCAACTAGCAAACAGTGACACTCACACATATGCTAAATTATAGGGGTATTTATGAAATAGCATCGTGTGTAAAATAGTTAAGGTAATTTGTAGCAAAAAATGGCAATAATTTCAATTTTCATCAAATTATTTGTTCAAATTTGGATTTGAATCAGAGCGTAAAATAAGGATTTGCCTTAACTACCGAAAAATTTCTGTTGACTTCGAATTTTTTGAAAGCATACAAACCGGCCTCCGCTCGCTCCGGAAGTGCTTACTATACTTCCCAAATGGTTAAATTGCAGACATACACGGAGTATGAGCGGAGCTGTGCGGAGATAGACGAAAACAGCATACAACGGATGAGAGTAAATCGGATGAAAGTAAATTAGTGTGCGCGCAATGGTTACTATGCGTACGCATATTCTTAATACAATTCTCGTCTATCTCCGCACAGCTCCGTTCATACTCCGTGTAAGTCCGCAATTCAACCATTTGGGTTTCAATTAAAATTTGAAGAAAATACCGAAAAATTTCCTTGAAAAATATTATTATTTTTTTCGAGATATTCAATGACAACAGAATCGATATTTGAATAAAATTATTTTATGTTCGAATGGATATTTCATTCGTTTTTTATTAGGCATCGTTTTGTATAAAACAACCAAATAACATAATCTCTGGCAATAAATCAGTTTCAGTATTAAGCAATCGATTAGATAAAACTAGAAACGTATTTAAAATATAAATGCATACATAAATATATCACGAACGTTGAGTGGCCGATTCTGATGGATATCCAGAAGATCTAATCAATTTATTTGTCGAAATTCCTCATGGAAAATGCGCCTTACTTTAATTATTAGTCACTCGAATTACATTGGTAACACGTATATTTTGTTTGATTATTGCACCAATAAGATTCGGCAATAAAATCCACTGTTTAAATTGGTGGGAATTATTTTATTTCGGTTAGTATATCTAACTCAGCCATAGACTAGTGGTTAGCGTGCCAGGTTTGTGAGCGTGAGGACACGAGTTCGATTCTCGGTCAAATTTGGTCCGGTATTTTTCCACCGTGATTCGCTCAGGAATTATCAGTGGTTTTATGCGGAATAGATTTGGCCGGGTTTCGGGCTAGTGGAGTGCTTCGGAGGGCACTTAAAGCCGTCGGTCCCGTGTGTGTGCACAAAGAATAATGGGTTCAGCATAGACACACGTAAAATGGAGTGCCTTTACGTTAGGTTGGTGTCTTGGATATGTCAAATATCCAATACGTCAACCGTAAAAAGGTAGTGCGACATCTCTGGTGAATATACCGGTAAACCAGCGATATGTGCATTCCTCCATTGAAATAAGAAGAGCCCAACGCCATCTAGGAATGAATGGAATACTTGTGACTGTCACGACAATTGACTTGAGAAGAAAGCCCTGGTCACTGGCCCTGTACGGAGGCTAGTTACATGGCTGCTATAAAGTGGGCCACACCGTGGGAAGCATTCTCCAAGCAATCGAGTGACAGCACAAGTCGGGTCGTCATGCAATAAGTTACGAAACTTGAGCATCGAAGTGAATAACTCCCCGTTTAATCCAATAATCCAATAATCCAATATCTGGAACGTTCGAAGGTATCAAACGCTCTATATTTTGTACACATATACTCTCTGGTTTTGATTTAATGAAAAATTAACAAAAACACAAACAAATCATATTTTATATTATTTTTGCGAAGATGCGTGATCATTTCGTGAAATTTTGCAATAAAAGCAAATGTATTGCTGGCATTGGATATATCACCGCGAAAGAAAGACATTGGACCGAGAGGTATACATCCCGAATTTATAAGGACAATCAAGAGAATAGATTCAATAAATGATTTTGATCATTTTTGTTTATCGATTTTGAAATAGATTATGGTGGATTTTGGTCTTCAGTTTGTCACTTATGGTGTGTGGTTATTCGATTGGAAAGGTGTGGATACAATGGCGCGATAGTCCAGTTACTGTGGGTTTCACAGAAAAAGACGAACCTATTTCGGCTGTCCCACCGTGACAATTTGCCCACGCACAAAATTCCTCAAGGGAAAATTGAATTTCACCAATGATTCGTACGAGAGTTATAGAAAAACACCAGAAATTTTATCAGACATTGAGTATGCACATTTTTACCGTAATACGAAAAATAATTAAAAATAATACATATTTTTAAATATTTTCTAGGCTAATGCGATTAGATGCATTGCTCAATATTTGTCAACGGCGAGATTTTCTAAAGCCTTTTACGCACAGACAATATGCAAATAGTTCAATTTATAAAATCATTGATGACATGGCACCAGATATGAATTCGACACTGTTTCATTGTGAGTTTCATTCAAGAGAGTTTCCATGTTATGAATACATGACCTCTGTTATCACAGAGGATGGACTTTGTTTTCAATTCAACGGATTCAACTCACATGAAATGTACACCGAAAAGTATTGATCAATCTTCTATTCTAAGTCTCTTTTCACAATCGCCCTCTGTTTTTTGTCTCTTTCTGTTCTTTCCATGACTTGTACCATGCTGAAGCATGGCCCCTGAATTGATGATAGTGAATTCCAATCGAAATGTGTCACAATGGAGTTTAGAAGATGTATACTAAAAAGGATTGTATTCAAATGAAAACACCGTTCAAAATCACTATCCGTTTCGTGTCTTTGCGGCAAATGAAGGAAGAGCAGCATTATTTATATCGATGCAGTTTTATTCAGACGATTTCAACTATTTGTGCGCTGGAGTCGTCCAAGGTTTTGACGTATCCTTGACTATGCCAGGTGAAATACCAAAAGCAATGACTCGTAACTTTCAAATTTTATCTTCGGAAAGAACGGATATATTGATATCAAACCGAAAATGTATACCACATCAAAGGGAATACGCCGGTATTCATCGAGTGAAAGGAAATGCTTTTTCAATTCTGAACGTCGATTGCATTTCTTTCAATTCTATACCCAGAATAATTGCGAAGAAGAGTGTGTAATTAATTTTACTCGAACGATGTGCGGATGCGTGAAATTTTCGATGCCAAGTACGATTATGAAACACCTGAAATTTACTTTCAATGGCTAAACTCTCCATTTATTTCTTTAGGAGATGAACACACAATAATCTGTGGAGCAGCGAAAGTTGAGTGCTATCAAAATGCCGAAATGAAATTGTTTGAAGAAGATGATTCAAAAAATTACTCCATTAAATAATTTCGTGATAGCTGCAACTGCTTACCAGCTTGCGATTATTTCATAAAATACGCCGCCGAAATCGATCGCACCAAATTTGACCGGTCAATGCAGGCAGTGCAATCCCTTAGCTGGCTACCAAATTCAACTAAGTAATGAAAATGATACTAACCTTTTGAACTTGACAATAGATTTTACTTTTCTGCACACCTAGTGTAGGAAAGGTATTGTATTAGGCCAAAAAATTAAAGTCATCCAAAAACATGTTTTCTATGCATATTTAATGTAGAAAACACGATTGGAGATGATTTTGGTGCATATTAATGTGCGTCGCTGTGTGTGATGTGTCCTGTGTCCTGTGACCTGTGACCTGTGTCCTGTGTCCTGTGTCCTGTGGCGTGTTGCCAAAATTTGTTAACTCGATAAATCTTCTTCCAAAAACTCAATTCAAATTCTGACTTTGCAGGATGATTTGGGACTACTAGGAGACGTGCTGATTAGTTTTTGATCAATATCTGTTGACCGGTGTAATTTTTTTTGGTCCGAATGAAGTACCCACAATCCATACATTTTACTTTTTTGATCATTTTTCAACCATTTTGGTGACACGATGGTTTCGTGCTCAGACATGAAATTCAAAATCTGACTTAACGGGATGATTGGGCATTACGAGGAATAGATCTAGTCAAATTTTCAACGACATTGATTGACCGGTGTAAAACTTAGACTCTGAAGAGGCACTTATGAGAAAAATGCCTTAAAATAATTTATTATTTCAATTTGAACGCTGAAAGAATGTGTAGTGGGGGATTTTTTGGCACGAGAAACCTGAATCTGATGTTAGTTTTAAGATGCAATCAATTTTTCACAGACTTTTCATACAAAAATCCACAAAACATTTCATTTTTGTATGAAAGACTTGCCTTTGTGGTACCGTAATGATGTGAAACTTTGAACAGGCTATTTTTTTGATTGAAATTTCTTTAAACTTGGTGTGATTATTTATTTTGATAAGAAAATAATATTCACAAGTTTTCACGTTGATTCAAGTTACTGTAACCATACATAGACCATAATTTCAGTTTATTCCCAAAATTTCGGTTCCATGCGGAAAAGTTAGCTTGCGTACGTAAGCCTCTTTATTTCAATTATTTTACAGCGCCCAGGTGTCACTTTTAAACATATTTTTTGTTGATTATCAAGTTTCTACCCTAGTACGCTCTGAATCCTACACTTTTACGGACATTATAGCAATTGGTGGGGGTTTGCTTGAACTATTTTTGGGGATGTCGTTGCTGAGCATCGTGGAATTCGTTTACTTTGCAACAATTCGATTGTTTTTGAGCTTTTGGCGTTCGAAAAAGAATAATGTTGTCATTCCGTTCAAACGACCAACTATTAACAGATTCACCATCCAACCTATCGGGTCATATTACCCGTAATCAGACCATACACTCAGCATAGATTGCTCATGATTACACACTCACTCATGGTTTTCTTCGTTTATGTGAGTGTGTGTTTGAACGTCACAGATCGACGTTATTGGGTTATTACCCCTTCAAACGAAATGTATTTAAGATACACAAGCGAATTCGAGTCTTACACACACTTCGTTTAGAAAGAGTAATAATCGAGGGGGAAACCACGGATTCTAATATGTGCTATTGTGCTAATTTTTTCTAATATTTCTAGTAAAACGCCATATAACAAGTACATTTGACATCTTTCTAATATGTTCTAGTTTTTCTAGTATCGAGTTCGTGGGTAACCCCAAGGTAATAATGCATGGACTGCTGCGTTAAATATCCGATTCTCAGAAAAGATCTCGGATATTTATCCATGCTCAGTACATGGTCTGCTCGTTATACTCGAGGGATGAAGTGGAAATGAATGAAGAGAAATAAGTAGAGGGAGGGCGGAGATTTTAAGTTTATGAACACCGGGAAAAAAATGAAGAGTCAAAAAGGTGTTCGCCTTCGAAATTTTCAATTTTTTTATTGTGATTGAAATTGGAATTCGTTAAAGCCACTTGTGTTTTATAAGGTGTTGTTTGACATTTTCAATTAGGCTAATTGAATTGAACATTGGGCAAGGTTCAATTCAATTTTATTTCAACCATAAACTGTGGAAAATATTACAATCCACTCACCAATTTGTATTTCATTATCTTACAATATTTATGGTTTCAAACAATTGCATGATGAAGTCATGCAAGAGCTTTTCAATTAAAAAATAATCAAGTTAATTAGATGTCGACATTTTGGTATTTCAATTAGTATATTTGAAGCTTTCCTGGATCATAGCACCCATATCAAACGCTCTGCGCCGAAATCTTTTTTTAAATAACTTTTTTCACATAAATTTACTTGAATAACTGTCAAAAATATTAATAAATATTTGAAAAAATGAAGATGCGTAAACATTTAATCGAATTCTGCAATAACAGCAGGTATCAAATATATTAATATTATTTATATTAAGGATATTTAGTATTCATGGTGTATATATTCTGTAATAACAGTATTCACGGGGTTCGATATATTGCCGAAAGAGATCGACATTGGAGCGAAAGGTATAAGTCTTCATCAGTAATATACGAGGGGAGGGGAGGGCTTTACCCTCCTGTTATTTCCAAATTATTCGAATTTGCTTGGGTTTTTCGAAATTTAGAAAAAAATCTTCCGATTTGCTAGGGATTTTCCGAAAAAAATTGAAATCATCCTGAGAAATTTATCTCGCTCTCGCACATTATTGGTCTTCATATTCTATAATTTTCATAAGTTTCGACACGAATGATTTTACCCATAAAATCACTTTTGAATAGATTATGGTGGACTGTCGCTGTCATTTTATCACTTTTCCTGTGCAGTATCTCGATCCGAAATGTCTGGATACATTGGCGCCATAATCCAGTAACTGTGACCAACGCAGAAAGCGATAAATTCATTTCAGATATTCCATTTCCCCAAATCACTATCTGCCCGCTGACCAAATTTCGCAAGGAGAAATTTGATTACGATTTTCGTGTGATTGATAACTTCAAGGGACCAAAAGAATCTTCATACATTGAGTACGAATTTCAAATAAATATCAACCTTTATCAGTATATTATATTTTTCCCTCTTTCATTCTCACGGAATCATTTATAAAATAATAATTTACAAATGTTGTGTAGGTTAATGCGATATGAAATACTGCACTACATATGCCCAACAGAACTACGAATATCATATTTTTTTCTGAAAAATAAATTTATAAATGACTCAATTTATAAAATTATTGATGATATGTCACCACAGCTGTATGACACAGTGGTTCTATGTTATACGGGTCGTTTTGTGAATTTAAAGGATTGTGGGAAAAATATGTCCACAGTTATCACTGAAATGGGACTTTGCTTTCAATATAACGGATTCAACTCGCATGAAATGTACACTGAAAAGTGAGTGATTTTTATTTATCATCTCTTCTGTTCTTCACTTCATTACTTATTACTCATTTCTCAGCATGGCCCCCGAAATGATGACCGTTAACAAATTCCCAAATGTGTCACAATGGAGCTTGGACAATGGATATGAAAATAGATACTCAGAAAATGAATATCCGCGTCGTGTTTTTATTCCAAATAAGGAAATTGGAGGATTGGAAATGCATTTGGTATCAATTATCAACGATATTAATAACTTTTGCTCTGAATTCGATCAAGGATTTCAAGTGGCCTTGACTATGCCAGGCGAAACACCAAAGCCATTAACTTGCTATTTTGACATTTTAACGTCAGAGCAATCGGACATCATGATTAAACCGAAAATGATTACAACATCCGAAGGACTACGTCACTATTCACCAAATCAACGACAATGCTTCTTCAATTCGGAACGTCAGTTGCGATTCTTCAAATTATACACACAATATAATTGCGAAACCGAATGTCTGGCCAATTTTACTCTAATTCAGTGTGGATGCGTAACATTTTCAATGCCAAGTATGTCTGAATGAATAAATTTAAATATCAAATTTCATTTAGAACAGTAATGTGCGGAGAGTCCAGGTAGAACATGAGGTTTACCTCTCTCTGACATCCGGAATTTCAAATTTCACGCTACATAAACATAAAAGTTTCAACATTTTAATTTTAAAAATGTACTATTCGGTCCTTTATTTTTGAAATAACCCTTCCGTCCCAACAGCTCAAATACAAAAAGACAAAAAGCGTTTTTTTTATTTTCCAGGAGATGAACATACAAAAATCTGCGGAGGAATAGACTACCTTTGTTGTTCTCCTGTGCAGTTGCAATTATTTGGAGACGATTATTTTCAAAATGAAACCATTAAAGAGTTTCGTGATAAATGTAATTGTCTACCCTCATGCGTACAGATTAAGTATGATGCTGACATCGACCGAAGGAAATTCAACCCGACGACTATGAAGGGTGGAAGATTAAAAAGCAATGAGTAATGAAAATCAACATGAATTCAGTCTTCAAATTCACTAACATTTTTTTGCATTATTCCACAGCACAGAGAAGTCACATTTAAACATATTTTTCGTCAGTGATCAAGTAAGCACTCTGCAGCGTACAGAAAGATACAGTACTACGGATATTATGGCGATTGGTGGCGGTTTGTTGGGTTTATTTTTGGGGCTATCGTTGCTGAGCATCGTGGAAATGATTTACTTTGCAACATTTCAATTGTTTTGGACCATTTGGCATTCGAGAAATGTGGTCATTCCATTTGAACGACCAACCATATGCAGAATTGCCCTCGGATCGATCGAGTCGCAAATGCAGGAAAAAATACAAAGCAAAAAATGAAACTTAAATCCCTACCAAACAACATACACGATGCACAGATTTTCCAGCACGCTAACACACGCTTGGTTATGTTCCAAAATGACATTTTCACAGAATTTTTTTTTGAGTTGTTGAATTTGTGCATATATGTTACATTGTCAGTATTCAAAGTGTTTCAACAGTTATTTTAATAAAGTGACAATATTAAATATAGATTTCTTTCTTGCTCATCACTCAAGTTGCCAACTACAAACACTTACATTCAACTTAACATTGACACTTAAATGTCTTATTCACGGAGTGTAATCTGTCAAACATCCATTCCAATCGAAGCCATTGTCATTCAAGTATAAACTGTGCACCAAGAAGCATTGCTGTTGCAACCATTCGAGACTTTTCTTTCAATTTCATCGACATCCAGTTGAAATTGTTAATCGAAACATTGAAAATAAATGCCCACATCAAATTGCAACGTCAATTGAGCATTTGAATAGCACAACAAATGTAAGTCACAGTTTATCTTTCCATTTCTTGTTGTGAAGATATTTAGTTTTTTATTCCCAATCCATCAGCCATTTTCGCAATGTCAATGAAAATCGAACACCCCGTTGTGTTCTGCAACAATTGTATTTTTGAAGCAAAATTGTTCAACGAACCGACAAACCGGCGAAAAATATATTTGGCTGCGTGTTATCATGTGTTGTGTGAAAAATGTCGGGATAAAAATGGTGGCAAATGTATGGTCTGCAACGAAAAAGTTCATTTCATAGAAATTTCACGCACAATGCCAGAACGGTACCGAAAGTTATTTGGAATCTTTACAACGGAACCATTGGAAAACGCGTTGAAGTTTCAACACTCAAACTTTCGTTTGACAAAATTGAAATTTTTAAAAATGATCCCGTATTTTAAACAAAAGATCGCTAAAGCGAAGAAGAAGGCCAAAGAAATCGAGGAGAAGGTTCGAAAGATGCAGATCGCAAAAAAGAAAAAGGATAACATTCGAGTCATCATTGTTGAATTTCGTAAAGATAAAAATGAATTCAAAAAGTGAGTTTCTAAAGAAAAGTGCAGAAAGTGCTTCATTGTTCATCAAAAAATATTTTTAAAAAAATTGAAAATTTTAGGCGCAAACGGGAACGAAATCAACAAAAACATCAGCCACCGCAACGAGATAAACAAGAAATGCCAGCTGGACTATCGCAACGAAACAATCGATTGAAGCCAACACAACGCCTTCGATTTGAAATGCCACCACCACAACGACATGATCAATTAAAGCCAACACAACGTCCACGATTCGAAATGCCACCACCGCAACGATATGATCACCACGGAGGAGAACGCACCAACCGATATGACCTGAATCGAAACATCAATGACGATTCAATGTATGGGGAAAAAACATTAAGTTTCAGCAACATTTGAATTGTAATTCCATTCGTAGTTGACATTGGAACTCAAAATGATCACAAAAAGTTTAGTCAAACGATGACTCATTCATGAAATAAAAAAAATGTTTGAAAAACAATTCAATGTTTACATTGAACTTTCTTCCGTTCATAGTGACTTCTGGTTTTTTGAAGGTATCACAAACAAACAACAAATTGCTTATCGCAAATGTCTTGATGTATCTTAATCAAATCGATTGGAAAGTTAGTCGAACATTCACGTTGATGTCGTACACAAGAGACGATTGCACACACATACACAGTGTGTAGTAGAATGGCACAGCTTCGAATGTGAAGCGAAGAGAGAGAGGAAGAGTGATAAAGACAGAGAACTAGAGCGAGAGAAACGTCTGACGTGATTGTATTTGTTCGGGTTTCTTCGTTGTCGTCATTTTCATTGTGTCCTTCGAAATATCATCAATTTAAATACAAAATTATCGGTTTTATAGACTATTCTGAATCATTCGAAAATGTCTTTCTTATCAATTCATCAAAATTCGCAAGTATTCTTCTGCAATTGTTGTTTTCACGAAGCAAAATTGTTCCAAGACACGAACTATATACGCCCAGTACAAATATTATTTTACAAATTGTTGTCACATTTTGTACCATTATTGTCGAGCGACGAAAAGAAACACCTGTGCCAAATGTCATCGAAACTCAAAATTCTTGGAGATCAATAGGAAAATACCAAAACACTATCAATTTTATTTCAAGAAAATGTCAATGATGGGAGATTTTCTACGTGCAATCAAATTTTGTGTGTACCAACAAACATTGGTTTCAACGCATATCTGCACAGAAATGTTGGAAATACAACGAAAAATGGACAAGGCAATGAACATAAAGAGAAAACTCGATGAAGCGAAGAAAGTTCTCGGCAAAATGCGAAACATTTCCCGAATACCTGATTATATGCTACGGTGAGTGCAACGAGAGCTATTTTTGAGAAAATGTCATGTAACTAAAATTCTTTATTTTATATTCACGTAGGCGCCGAGCAAATAATGTTGTACGCAAGCAGTTTTTTAGTAAGTTGTCAAGCCGGAGATATCCAAGTCGGAGCTACTCAAATGGTCGCTATTCAAATCGTTGCTCTCGAGACTATGATGGTACCTTTGGATGGTTCGATTCCAAGTAAAGTTTTCATGGACAATCTATCGCCTTTTCTCATGCACCAACAACCCGTGAAATACATTCGCGATTAAAAATAAGCGCGAAGTAAATCTAGAATTCTTCTTTGTTCCGTTCAGTGAGAGCAGCATTGAAGTAGCCATTGCTTTTTCGTTGTGTTTGTTCTGTAATGCACGCGCTGTATTGATATTGTCGAAAAAGCAATGGCTACTAGATTGAATGCTGTTCTCACCGAATGGCACGAAGATGAATGTGCGTTAGCGCATGACACTGTGTATATTTTTCCAAAAGAAAAAAAAATGTTCATAGATTCCCTTCAATAATTGCAAGTGCTTATTTTTAAGCGAAAATGTCTAGCTTCACCAATAGTAAAAATTCATTCAAAATACACACAAATAATTTTATCCAATTTTAATCGATTTTTTGACGCCTGTTAATCATAAACTATGACTCATAATATTCATGTGTCGATTATTCATATAAATCCACATTGTAAACATTTCAAAATTTGTAAATTGACACCGTCTAGGTTAATCGAATCATAAAACAAATATAATGGCATGGCATGCAAAATGATAATTTTTTTCACTTAAATTTTATAAATAAATTCAATATAAACAAATTTTATATGGTTTTGCTGAATGAAAATCAAAAATAATAATATAAACAGTTCTTCCGACAAAACGGATTGGCTTCAATTACTTCGTTTATTTCAGAAGTGTTCAATTTTTTCAGTTCAGCTATTATTCAATTCGATATAAAAGATTTTGTCGCTTTGATAAAACCTCAGTCAAGCATAGACATCGCATTCAATCACATTCAATCACATTCGATTTGATATTTTGAAGGACAGAAAAATGAATAACGATAAAAAAGTTTGGAAATACTTTACATGTATAAAATGCGAAACAACGCAGTGCTACTTGGATACACAGAACTTCCGGCGGAGAAGTTGCCATAATTGCTTTGAATGCAATATCATTCTCACACCACGTAATGATGTAAGTATTGTTTAAACAATAGAATAGATCATTTCAATATATAAGAGAAATTATCGTATTTTTTGTATTTCGTTCTAATTTCTTAGTTGCCACCCAGTAACAAATAAAAGAATGTCCATATTCACCATTCCGCAACAGCATTTGACGTGCGATGAAAAATATTTGCTGAAAATAAAACAAATTCATTATTTCCTTTGTTATTTTCCATACTGAATAAACCATCGAATGTATATTTAATGTATTTTTGAATGGCTGCGTATATTCGAGCGTTTTAATTTCTAAAACTATTATTTCAAAAAAAAATCCAGATTTTTCTGGCTAAACTTGATTTTATGTGGAATTTTGATGCACATCCATAGTAAGTACTTGCCAATTTCTTGAATGGGTTTTGGAATAAATCGTATTTTTTCGACATTTTGAATCTAAAAGCGGAAAGTCGATTTCTTTTCGTGAAACATCATATACATTATGTTTGTATGAAAAGGTATCTGAAAAAATTCACCAATAAAAATTCAAGTTTTTTCCATCTCTGTCTAATAAATAAAGGTAAGTACGCCCTTCTCTGTATAAAGTGTCTTCAAGACAAAAAAAAACATTCAATTACAGTCGAAAAGCCATGAAAAACGTTGTGAAAAGTGCATTGAAGTCATTTTGAGGCCTGTTGCCGCTTGTATTATTAAATAATAATAGGCATGGTTCTTTAATTAGTGATAATACATTAGAGACTTTATTCAATATTGAAAAAGGCAGTGGAAATGAATTTATTTAATTTTCATCACATATCCTTCAAAATAAATTAAAAAAGTTGCGTCTGAATGTTGAATATTTTCTCTTTTTTATTATTATGCGGTCCTCATGCCAATAAAACCACTATCGATAGCTGAAAAATTGAAATAAATTAAATGAAAACGATAATTATTCGTATTAGATAAAAAAAATCCTTTAAAACACTGTGGATTCGTTGAAATAAGAGATTTTTCCTCTTAGAAGGAAGAATGGTGATGAAAAATGAGTAAAACGGAAGCGCCGGGGGAAAATCTATAGTCATAAAATCAGTTTTGGTTGAAAACTACTACAAAATTGAGAATCTCGCTCAGCGCTGTCCTCATTTGCCTCCTCGCCATTCCTCCTCTTCAATGGAACAATCTCTGATTAAAATTTCTACATACATCTCTGTATGGTTGAAAAATGATATTACATCGATAGCAAAATCTACTGTGATTTGGCTCGGTATTAATACAGTCATAAGTTTCTTCGCACCGTGGACATCTGTAGTAGGCATGCCAACGAGCTACAGAAAGTGAATACATTTTTGTGTCTTTTTTCTTTGCTATTTCAAAATTTCAAATCGAATGTGATTGAATGGATGTCGATACTTGATCAGTTCAGACTTGTAATGAACACGACAATGTTTTCTTATACCTAATGGAATCATAGCTGAACTGCAAAAACTGAACACTTCTAGAATGAACAAAGTAATTGAAGCCATTATCTGTTCTTTCGGACAAATTGTTTATATTATTTTTGATTTACATTCAAGTAACTTAAGCCAATTCAGCGAAACCATAAATTTGTTTTTTTTTTTAAACAAAAATTGTTTTTGTTTAGTAAAATTTAAATTAACATTGCAGCCATTTGTTTGTGGATTCGATTTATCGTTTATAAAGTTTGAAATGATTACAATGATGATTCATATAATTGACACATGATAGCGATTTGATCTAATGTCTTATTACTAATTAAAGACCACTATCTATTATTACTTAAGAATTTTCAGCAAATATTTTTCGTGGCACATCAAATTCTACGGCGGAATTTTATGCTTCTTATTTTATTGGTTAGAAAAATTAGAACGAAATAGAACAAAACAATAATTGAATAATAAAACTAGGACCGTTTTGGCTTTACTATTAAAAAGGAAATTATCGTTTTGTTCTAAACATCAAATACATTATGTATTACGCTAGGTATTACGTATGTACGAAACGGTCACTGAAAAAAGTTATGAAAAAAATTCAAATTTGTTCTACATCCATCTCTGTCTAATAAATTATGGTTAGTACATCCTCCTCTGTATAAAGTATCTTTAAGACAAAAAAAAACATCCAATTTGAAATTACGCTTGAAAAGGTATGAGGCGCGTTGAGAAAAGTACATTGCAGTCATTCTAGGTCCTCTTGCTACGTGTATTATCAAGCTTCAGATCTCCATCCCAAGAGTCCCATGAACCGTCGCTAAGAAATTGGAATAAAATAAAAGAAAACAATAATTATTGCTATTAGATTAAGAAAACAGACAATATATTGAGCTGACTATTGATTTGAAATGAGACTAAATAGCACGCTATTTCGATTGTGTGACAACAATAACTTTTTGCTTCACGTTAATCTGTATACAATATTGTCTAAAAAAAAACTCTTTAATACACTACGGATTCTTTAAAATCAGAACAATGGAGACAAGAAAAGGTGAGAAAAAGGAGAGCACTCGGGGAAAATCTTTAACCAAAAAATCATTTTTGGTTAAAAACCACTCCAAGCTTGAGGATCCCACTCAATGCTATCCTCCTCCTTATTTAGCTCCTCTTGAATGGAACAATCTCTGATTAAAATTTCTACTTACCTCTTGATATGGTTTAATAATGATATTACATCGATAGCAAAATTTACTGTGATTTGGCTCGTTATTAACACAATGATGTGTTGCTTTGCACTGTGGACATTTGTAGTAGGCATGCCAATGAGGGGCAGAAACGGGATACATTTTTGTGTCTTTTTTCTTTATTCCTTCAAAATTTCAAATCGAATGTGATTGAATGAATGCCGATGTCGATATTTGACTT